CTGCAGCCACTAGAGTGTTAACAAGATTTTTCTATTTACAATCCCTGTGATCTAGTTTTTGACCGGAGACGACCCATATTCGAACTTGACCTTGGAATCGTCAAAACAACTTTCCTGACAAATTTTCGAAATATTTGGATCAAAATTGCTGCCACTAGTGTTAACAAGATTTTTCTCGTTTTATTCCCTGTGACAGAGATGACCCATATTCATACTTGACCTAGAAATCATAAAAACAACCTTCCTGACATCTGGATCAAAACTGCAACCACTAGACTGTAGAGATTTTTCTATTTTTAGCTCCTGTGACCTACTTTTTGGCCGAAGATGAACCTTATTCGAACTTGACCTAGAAATCATTTAAACAACCTTCCAGACCGATTTCCAGAAAAATTTAGATCACGACTGCAATCACTTATTAACAAGTTTTTTTCTATTTTTAGATCCTGTGACCTAGTTTTTGACCCCAGAGGACCCATCTTCGAACTTTCCAAGAAATCATCAAAACAACTTTCCTGACAAATTTCCAGAATATTTAGATCAAAACTGTAGCCACAGATTGTTTGCATTTGTTTTATCTACTATTAGAGGGTTAATGCACCTTTCTTCTTGTGTTATCATCTGCAATTTAAGCCCAAGCCTGCAGGGCCACGGATTTATATAATCGAATGTTTGTCTTATCTTTATGGGTTTTTTTTTTGCATTCTCTATAAATTAGAAAATGTGTTCGTTAATATTTTCATCCCTGTTTATTCTACGTGTCACACTTGTGCATGTTTCATAAGAGGAAAGTGCAGCCTTATCACTGTGACAGACATGTTATTTGATAACAGGCCGTGATTAAGCCGGAAACTTCATATTTTTACTACTTTTTAACTAAGGTGTCTCAGAAAGGCAAAACATAAACATATAAACGTTATAAATGTAAAAAAACAATCAATCTACAAAAGAACAAGACAGTCAAATAGTCTGATGTTTTTTTGTCTTTATTTTGTCATTTTTACCACAAAATTACAGTTGTACAAAAGGATATCTTCTCAACTCGATATCCTCGTCATTTTCACAAAAAGACCCTGTCTAATTTAAAAATGACCAAACATTATATCTAACAAAGCAGTAAAAAAGTAGTCACATTTAATACATTCAAAATAAGAGGAAACTACAAATATCGGCAACATCGATGACTGCTACCCGATATTTCTTTGACAAATCTGAAAACAGTCTAAGGAGAAAATATATTTCTTTATCCTCAACGATTTAATTTTGACACAGTTGACCTGAAACGGAGGTCAAACCACAACCTACGGTACAGGAGACCGCTGCGCCCACCTGTCACAATCTATAGCATTTAATAACCAGTGCCATATGTCTGCGACGACATACGACCGCTCCATGGAAGATGCCATCAAAAAGTCAGTAAATGACCCAATGGCGAATTGTCAATTATCTCGTATATGCTCCACCAGATAAATTAAGGGAAGAAAAAAATCATTTAATATGACTACAGTGTTTTATCAGTGATCAATAAAACAGTGTAACAACTCAATAAAATTTTCATAAAATGTTTTTCATATGTGAAATGAGCATTTAATCCCTACCAACAAATTTATACACCTCTATAAACAGTCATTCAATAAAACTAGTTATTATTAATTATTAAAAAAAAACTTCACATATGTTACATACATGTATGTCTGTACGGTTTTTTGTTTTCCAATTCAAATGTGAATGTTTTTTTTGCAATCTGAACAAGACTTTAATATGTCATAATAATTAAAATTCAATTTAAATAAGTTGCAGAAATAGCAAAATACTGTAATCCCCAAATACTGTAATCCCCAGACATTGATTTCTTTTCAAAAGATGTGTAACAATAGAATAATAAGAATCTTTTATTTCTAATTTCTAAATCAAAACTGTTGATAAAATTGTGTTCATATGTTAAAATATTGTCTTAGCTAAAAACAAATTTTTTATTGACAAAATGCTACAAAACAAAGTCTTTGAAAAGCAATTCTATTGAATAATAGTGAAATTTAGCAAATAATGGAATAGTTTACCATAAAAAACAATGACATTTAGAGGTCAAGGTCATATTTACAATTACAAGAACAAATGACCAATTTTGAAGAGCTCCAAAGATTTATTGTTAAAGATCTTGTAACTCAAATTTTCGTGTGGTCTTATTAGATAAATCTGATGCTCAAATGAAGATTTATCAAATTTGCAAGTTCAAACAAAAAGCATTATTTGTAAAGATATAACCGAATTTACATTTCATGTAAATAAAGGGAGGTAATTAGAAATCTATTTTCAAAAAAAGTTTAAGCCAAAATTTTCAATATGAAATGAATGCATATATTTTAGTGATTTCTTAAAACGCAAATAACATTTGCAGTACATATTTAACATATTCTGGGATGTTTGGAAATTGTTTAAGAAGAATAATTATATGCATTTATAAAATTTTACTCAAGTGTTGTTACATCCTTAATTACAACATACAGGATCTTTAAACTCAAGATTTTAAACAAGAATGTCGAACGACACATATACCCCCCTTTCTAGCCATTGACTCACATAATTGGTAATTTTATTAAAGAAACTTGCCAAAAATGGGTACATGGAACTGTTCAATTATGGAAAAATCAACGGAAACCATTTTGACATTTAAGGCCAATGTGACATTGATCTTTGACCTAATGACCCCTAAATCAATAGAGGTCATCTAATACTTATGACCAATAACTAGGTGAAATATCAAGACTTTGTGATGAATACTTTTCAAGATAATCAGCGGAAACCCTTTTGACATTTAAGGCCCCTGTGACCTTGACCTTTGACCTAGTGACCCCAAAATCAATAGGGGTCATCTACTAGTGATGACCAATCACTATGTGAAATATGAAGACTTTGTGATGAATACTTTTCAAGATAATCAGCGGAAACCATTTTCACATTTTAAGGTCCCCGTGACCTTGACCTTTGACCTAGTGACCCCAAAATCAATAGGGGTCATCTACTAGTGATGACCAATCACTATGTGAAATATGAAAACTTTGTGATACATACTTTTCAAGATAATCAGCGGAAACCATTTTAACATTTAAGGCCCCTGTGACCTTGACCTTTGACCTAGTGACCCCAAAATCAATAGGAGTCATTTACTAGTTATGACCAATCACTATGTGAAATATGAAGACTTTGTGATGAATTCTTTTTAATATAAACAGCGGGAACCATTCTGACATTTAAGGCACCTGTGACCTTGACCTTTGACCTAGTGACCCCAAAATCAATAGAGGTCATCTACTAATTATGACCAATTAGTATGTGAAATATGAAGACTTTTGAAGACATGTGATGAATAATTTTCAAAATAATCAGCGCAAACTTTTACGACATTTAAGGCCCATGTGACCTTTGACCTAGTGACCCCAAAATCAAAAGGCGTCATTTGCTGGTTATGACCAATCAGTATGTGAAATATAAAGACTTTGTGATTAATAGTTTTCTAGATAATCAGCGGAAACCATTTTGACATTTAAAGCCCCTGTGACCTTGACCTTTGACCTAGTGACCCCAAAATCAATAGGGGTCATCTACTTGTTATGACCAATCACTGCGTGAAATATGAAGACTTTTGTGATACATACTTTTTAAGATAATCAGCGGAAACCAGTTTGACATTTAAGGTCCCTGTGACCTTGACCTTTGACCTAGTGACCCCAAAATCAATAGGGGTCATCTAATAGTGAAGACCAATCACTATGTAAAATATGAAGACTTTGTGATAAATACTTTTCAAGATAATCAGCGGAAACCATGTGGTCTACCGACGGACAGACGGACGGACCGACAGACAGACAGACATTAGCAAAACAATATATCCCCTCTTCTTCGAAGGGGGGCACATTAATAAAAAGTAAGGTTTATGACTAAAGTTAACATTTGTCTGAAGAGGGCAACACACCCAACCTCAAAAATATACTCATCACCTCCTTTCATCTGTCAGACATAAATGATTATTTTATTTCAAGACTGTCGTAACCTCAGAGAGACATTTTTAATAAAGGTATTTTTCAACAAATATCTTATTTTAGAAAAGATGTATGTGTCATACAACAAAGTGAACAGATTTTTTTAATCTAAGAATAAGGCAAGTATAATCGTATCCCTTGCTAATTACTTTTTTATAGAAAATAAAAATCAAATAAGAAAAAAAAGAACAATGAAAATACATAAATGTTCCAATTTTTATATTTTGACAGACAGCACAAATGTCCAGGCTGACCTGGCTCTATACTTGTAACAAAGGCTTATGTCAATCAGTTCCAGTAAAATAAAGGTAATTTGTCATCTTACTTAGCCTATTCAGAATAGATTTGAATAAAAGAATTAATATAAACATATCCTCCAACCCAATGTAACTGTTACATGAAACAAATTGATTGGGTTCCAAGTCATGCCAACAAGGAAATTAAAGGTAATAGGACAACTTTTTTGTTCTCATGTTGCAGCAAAAAGTGCGCACCAACGTTCTGTAAGATAGCCAAAAAGCTAGCTCCTTCAAATAAAAGAATCCAAAGATTCTGTTCGAGTGTCAGCATGCCAACATTTTTTAAACCACTTGGCCATGTAGATAATGCCCTAATGACTAAAACACAGCTTATATTCATTACAATTTCATAAACTGAAGATAAAAAAAAAAATACTTCATTTTGCGTCCAGAAAAATTAAATACCAATGACTTTTTCTCATGTGAATTGCATACTCAATTTATTATTCTTTGTTAATAAATTCATAACACACACCAGATCTAACCATAATAATTTGTAAAACTAGAAAAGTGTTAATATAACACTGATGTCTCCCAAGTTCCATCCTTTTTTTTGTCAGTCTACAGACGGACAGTGTGACAGATGAATACGGGCAAATCATTATCTCCCCCTCTACGTAGTGGGGCGGGGCGGGGGGACATAAAAACACGTTAAGAGAGCTGACAAATTTTTTAGCCGCTCGGGATTTTTATTGTGCACAATCAAGCATCAAGCTTATTACAATTTTTTGTCACATATTCTGTCCCTCTTGGGTTGAATGTACCTCGTCATTTTCTATGATCAAGAGCACACATTTAGTTGTATTTAACACAAAAGTTCTAGAATGAATTTAGCATTATACAAATCCAAAAGCTTTAGTCTTGATGGCAAGTAATAGTTTAGTCTTCAGGATTTGTTTTGTAGTATATATTGGGATATAGAGTCTAGATATGCATGTATTTGCTGTGGGAAGGTGGTCGTCATCCGCAGGCCGTATTGTGATACTTGGCATCGGCTGGAAACCTTCCTCGCTCGCTGGAAGAGCTGGGCTCGACGTCCAGAAGTATACCTGAAGAGGCAAACATACATATAATTTCTAGCTGGTAGTTTTTTTATTCAAACATCAAGGAAAAAAAAAATTTATAGCCGTACTTTTAGCAAATAGTTTTTTATTCAAACATCTTAAAACTTTTTTTTTTATTCCTGTACTTCTAGCAAAACTTAAGATAATTACATGATAGACAGAAACAGCATGATAAAAAGAAAGAGTAAGCTCTATGCTACTACTGAATAGACAAAAAAAATAGACATTTTTCTTTCTCTTGGTTGAGGGATGCATTTGTGTCTTCATATTTCATTATAAAAATTACATATAGGGAACAATTTCCAGATGAATACCCTAGTAGTGCACTGTTTCAAGCAAATATTAACACCCAAATAGAACCACAAATCTTCTGTAAGTTAGATGACAATATTCTTCATATGAAACAATGCAATGTCCCTTGCAGGATTAGAAACACACATTAAATGTTGATATAAAAAATATGTGATATATTGCATTGCAAAGTGCTGCTCTACATAAATAATTATGCCCCTTGTGTGTATTTGGGATCCCTCACATTACAGAAGACTTACACAATGAAGATACCGAAACCGGTATAAAATAAATAACCTAAACCAGCTCTTGTGTTGACGTGTTGTACTCCTTTATTTTCTTCATATTTTAAAGACTTACACAAGTTAACTTTGTTATAATCAATATTAAAAACAAGAATAAACATTAAAGATCAACAAGGCAAAGGCAACGTTCACAGGATGCAGCCCCCGACACACTTATGTAGGGCACCCAGAAGGCACAAAACCAATAGACACAAGAGGGACATGTAATGTGTGAAATAACATAAACCAAGACAGGCCTATATGGGAATTAAAGGGATAAAGGCTGTAAGAGTGAAAAGGGGGATGGGCGTAAAAAAATGGCAAGGGGGGGGGGGGGAGTACGCTAGTAAAATCCATATACATACCAAATCTTGCCTCTCTATATTGTTCATCTTTTCTACAACTGACCAGAACCAGCGCTTAAACCTCTGTACCTTCTCGTTACTCTCACCTACAATACAGAACAAAACCTATGTACAAGCCATGCCAAGAATGTTTGTATTCTTTAAATCTAGAAAACAACGTATAGCATGTGTGATGTCTGGGGGGGGGGAAAGTTTATATATGATACAAAATGATCCATAAAACAAGTCATTTGTTACCATGGGATAATAAGCTAACAAATGCAATAAAAATTCAAAATGTCGGCCGGAACTGACAGGATTTATACCCTCATCATGATTCTTTTAAAAAGAGATGAACTTTATGAAATGATAGTGTTCATAAACTCACTTACAAAATATCCAGATAAATTGGTTCAAAGCAGGCCAGTCAGTCCATTATATAAAAACAGCGAGTGTGTTAAACCATAAAATCTTGAATATGATGAAAATAACTTACTACTTTCATCATTAAATGATGTATAACTTATAAGTGTCTGTACACTGATGGTTCCAACACCATTCAACAACAGTCGGAGATCCTCTGATGTCAGACCTTCTAACGAGTTAGATGGTATCACATCAAATACGCCCATTCTTAACCTCTGAAAAAGGATAACAAGGCAGTATGTTAAAGAGATTAGATTAATTTTTTTTAATCATGTGGGCCATCACGAGCCATTTTGTTTTGTTTTTGTTTTGTTTTGTTTATTTAATTGGAAACATTCAATATACTCAAACACGTATGTCGATTCGTAATTCCATAATACCAAATAATTCTTTGAATAAAAAAGTTTTTATTAACCTGAATGTAATCATATAATTTGTTTCACAAATATCCAAACAGTTTGCAGCGGTTATTTTTATAATTGTCATATACATTCAATGTCCCAAAAAATTGACAATGGATAGTTCCAAAAATGAAAGCCAGACAAGTCCATTTAAGAAATTCGGCAAGTTGTGGGCGAAGTTTATCACTGACTTTCCATCTTTTTTTTAAAAATAAATTTGTTGTGTGTAATAGGTTCGTTACCTTGAGAGCTTTTTCTCCAACTTTGACCATTCTATATTCAGCATACCTACGAACATAATCGTGTACATTCTGGGCGGTCACTTCAATGTCCGTTCCTCCTGGCACAAGTTCTACTTGCTCTCCGCCCTGATAAATACAAGAGATATTAATGAGAGAAACGTAATGGGTAACAAGTATTACAAAAATCACTAATCAGTTGGGTTTTTTTTTTCATTGAGAAAGTCCACTAGCTTTATGGTTGTGGCAAATCAAATTAGAATACAAAGACTAATAGGGCAACATCATTTTTCATTTTGTAGGGGGGTGTGCATCGTTGTTCTGGCAGACAGATTGTCAAACACAATTGAATATACAAACACTCAAGTATTTCTTCAGGCATAGGTCAAGACCTGCATGGATCATTTCTCTTAAACATATTTAAATTTTTTTTTAGTTTGATATCAAAGTGTATTATATAAATTTGATACCAAAGGATATAAATCTGATACCATGTACATGGTATAAAAATGATATCATAGTTTAGAATGTGATATCACAGGGCAAGAAACTGATATCACAGTTTAAATATGATATCACAATGTCACACTATAAATCTGATATAACCTCGGATTTATTTTTTATTTTGGTTTGGTTTTAAGTCACACCAACACAGTATAGGTCATATGGGGACTATCCAGCATTACTGGTGGAGGAAGATCTCAGGTGTCCCTCTGTACAATATTTCAGACAAAAACTAGCACCTGAATAGAACCACCGAAATTCAATTAGCTAGCTGGATAGCTTTTTCACATGAAAGAATCCAAGACGCTGGTGTGGCTTGAACCTACAGCAGTGAGAGGCAAGTGGTTTGAAGTCAACGACCTTAACTACTCTGCTACGGACGCCACTATACAACTTCCTATAAACCTGATGTTACGTGATGCAAATGGCCAAAAGTCTGCCAGACTCAGTAGAATTAAACTAATGCATATAGTACACGTAACTATCTTCACATTTCTTGACTAAGAAAAGCTACAATTAAAAGTCTGTGTAATAGTTAATATCAAACTTTTTATTACAACAGATATTATTTATGCACATTTCAATTTTGAAACAATTTCCATGTGTACATAATGAAACCGGATATAACATAAGCTTTACTATTAATGACTGCCATCAAATCAATGAAAGATAAAGTTACCTCCTCAGCACAAAGTTCTACACAGAAGTTCATATCTAGAGCCTGAAACATTAGTGACGCGTCTTTCGTTTCCGAGTCTAGGACGAGTTGTCGTAAGCTCTCGTACATGACCGGATCAAAGAACGCCAGATCGTGCCAGCCTATCTTTCTCCCGAGAATGTATTTCAGCACATGACGATTCATAAACAACGGACACATTTCGTTTTGCAGAAGACATAAACCTAAAATCCTGAAAAAATATCATAAAACATTGTATGCAAATGTACATATACACATAATTTACCATATTTCCCACATGTATCACATACGTGCAAGAACATGACCGACACAGAATCTCCATATTGTATACAAATGTGATATTGAGTACATTTAAGATATTATGCCATTAGGCTATTGCTTTCATTAAAGGAGATGTAAAACAACAGTATCATTGTCAAGGGCATCTTGACATTGTTTACTAGTACTTGTTTCTGGTTTTCATAGATTTTATTAACAGATCACAATATGTACTTATAGTATTTATAACAAGAGACTCTAGGAATACGTTTTAACATTTATGCACATTTCAATTTTGAAACAATTTCCATGTGTACATAATGAAATAGGATATAACAATAGCTTTACTATTAATTTCTGTCTTCGAGTCAGAAAGTAAGTCAGGATGTACTTATAGTATTCACAAGATCCCGGCATAGTAAAATCCATTTGAGTCAAATACAAGTTTTAGATCTAGATATTTCATTACAACCCTATTATATATTATTATACCACTCAAATCTGTATCTATTTTAGCACAATTGTTGACATGTTGTCACCTTAGAACAATCACAGATTAACTCCTATTAAATTATATACAAAAAGTAAGCCCATTACTGCACTTAGATGACATTAAACATAAAAACTGTTTTTAAACTTTTTTTCTGGATTTGCAATAATCCTGCTGCAACCCTTTAATAGAGAAATCTGGCTTTCATCTTTTTGATTTGTCCATTATCATGTATAGGGATATCAAGATGAAAAATCTGTAGGGTGTCAGTCAACAGTAAAGGAGTTTGGTACGACTGCATAACATGAAAAAGTTTGACTGTCTCTAAACTGGTAGTAAGTTTTAATATAGACACGGCTATTCATTATTTTTAGGGATTTTTTTTTTAAAAATCAGTACTGACTGAATGTTGACCATTAATTAGACCACATATCTTGGTCCGAACATGTGACTAAGGTAGTCTTACTGTAGTGCTAAAATCGGCCAATATTGTAGCAAATTGGTTATTTCAGGAACATTATTTTTTCAAAATCTTGGGCATTAGATTATTTACATTCACTCATCCTTTTTTGCTATGAACTAAATTCCGGTTATAAACGGTTAAAAATTATTGAATACAAAAGATTGTGAAAAATAAAGTTCCGAAAATGATTTAAATGATGAAAGATTTATTACGATGTTGGCCGGTGTTAGAAATTTTTTGGCGGGAAAGCATCACAGTAAGACTACCTTAAGTCCATGCCAATAGGCTAGAAGTTAATTAACAAAACAAACATTTACCTGCCCACATTTCTAAATGCATTCAATCTCTCGGGAGAACCTTTCCCCGGACGTAACGAGTAGTACCCACGTTTACCAGGTTGCCAGAACAACGGTGCATTATCCTCAAGATCATCTTCATCATCAATGTCACTACGTCTGTCAGTCTGTGATGCTGGTTTCTTCTTCTTGTTAGAATTGTTACCAGATGAGGACAGGTTGAAGATGTCTAAATCTAACAATGCTTCGGCATTCAATGTTCTTTGTTCCCTGTAAATGGAATTTTCCACATTGATAAAATATTGACACAGCACAGGGCTTATTTTCACAGGTTGGGGAAACAGCCCTGCCCTTAATTTTGGGAAAAAATTATGCGGTATATTTGCAAAAGGGGAAGAAAAAAAATTTGATGTAAATTCAATTTTGGGGGAAAACTGCATGTTTTTAAAGAATTTTTCTTTGGGGAAGCAGCCCTATAACGGCCCCTGCTATTGAAGGAAAAAAAAACCCTGCATTGCCATGGTTAAGGTCTTACCATACACATAAGATATAACCTTACCAGATCCAATGTATTTTTTTTTGCTCCTTCCATTTTATCAGACATAAGAGCACACCTAAACAGGTCCACTGACCTACAATTGGCAAGCTCAAAATTTCATGTACGTAAAATAATTCAACTTTCCCAAACATGATTCGAACCCACAGTTTTATGAGGCTGGTGACTTTAGGAGGATTCTTCAGGAAACTTCATAAATGAGCAAAGAATGGCAAAGTAGTTTTCAGATTGCTTTGATATTGATTATAAAGACAGAAATCTTAAACACATCCATGGCAGAATAAAGGACCTTAAACAGTAATCTCCTATTATGATCTCACAGGCATGTGAGCAGTCACATACAAATATCTTAAGTGGTTGATGGAGTATAATTTTATACAATATTTGTTTGTTATGTTGGGTTTGTGTTACACTGACACTATAATGATAATATGCCAACTTTCCTGCTACATTGGTGAAGGAAGACCTCAGGTGCCCCTCTGTTTATTACTTCAGGCACAAGTGGGCATCAAAGTAGAACCACCAATGCTCTGTAAGCTAACTTGACAGCCACCTCACATGAAAGAATTCCAATACCCTGGGTGGGATTCAAACCCACAGCGTTAAAATGGCCAAGTGATTTGAAGTCAACAACCTTAACCAGGTAGCCACTGACACCCCATAACGTTCCATAAGAAGTAACACCAAAGTTATGCCAACACTGACACCCAGGTGAGTAGGATAAATTCTTCTAAAGTCAAGCTAAAAATACACATAAAGACGGATAGGATCAAATTTACCCTCCCCCACTCTCCACCCACAACCCTAAAACAAACAAAGCAATAAAAACAAAGAAAAAACAATTCATAACATCGTACCTGGTATTGTGGGACATACAGATATCTACAGCTTCATCCACACGTTGTCTTAGGGTCTCCTCTGATGTTAACATCACTATTAACTGGGCCGGGGATAACTCTAACAACATACCAGTTATCTTAGGTGCCAGCGCCTGTTTTTGAAGAAGATGATAATAAATTATCAATCACATTTTTAGTAATAAATTATTCTTTTGGGAAGATTTTTTGGCTTAACAGATAGAATATTACTAGTTAATTAAGGCAATGCAAACATATATTTGGAATAATCATTTCAAACATGGTCAAAACAGAGTACATGTACGTAAAATGATTTGACAACACCATTCATATCACAATTTTCCTTTTACAACAAAATATTTTTTTTATCGACAATTGCAATATAATATCAAATACTGCATTTAACACTGACTTTAAAACAAATTGACTTTAATTATTTCAAAAAGGTTAGGATATAAAATCAGATATATTTTAAACAAGTCATGTATACTGTTGTTGAAAATAAACCATGTTTAAAATAAATTCTTTTCATCATACAAAACATATATCATAAAAAGAATAACAAACATACATTGTTCTTGTTTAAAGGGACTCCACTGAGGTTTGTTTGACATGATGGGACTGAAAATATTTTTTCCAGATAAATGTACCATTAGTGGTTTAGACCACTAATCTTTGTGCAAAATTTCAGATCATTCGCGCACTTTGTTTTCCAGAAATTTTTTTCAAATTATAAAAAATTTACCCAAAACGAAAAGCGTCTAAATGCTTTTCACACAAATCGGGCTAAGGAAACCATAAAAATATGATTTTCAATTTATTTCAAAATATATTTCTTAACTATCTTTGCATATATTTCTGTTTAAAGTTTCCCAGCTCATTCATGTAAGAAATTTAAATGTTATGTTCATAGCCTTTTGAACCTCAGTGGAGTCCCTTTAATAAACGTTCTGTACTTACAGGTTGAAGAGCCCTAACTCTCGGGAACAATCGTTCTCCGAGCTGTCGCCTATACTGGGTCATTGTATCACTGCTGCCCTCTGGTGGTGGCTCTGGATTGCTGGAAGGATTTGGATTCGCGTCAGATGGCATGTAAAATGGTGGAGCATCGTAGGAGAGTGTGCGACGTGAGTCACGTTCTCTACTGCTACGTCTCTGTGATGACGACGTTCGCTGCCTCTCGCGTTCCCGCTCTCGTTCCCTCTCTCTTGTTCTCAAACGCTGAATTAAATCTGATCAAAAACAAGACAACAATAATCAATATTAGAAAACTCCATGTATTTCAAAATCATAATCAACTTTAAATGAAGTAACTCAATTTTATAATTCCAATTTCAAGTAAAACTAATATAAATTCAATTTTCCGCCAAAGCAATTTTAAGATCAAATTTTAATCGTATTCTTCCTGTGTTCCAAATTATACTGGCTCATGTCCATGCCTATTTTTAAATGTTTGGATATTTAGCCCAGCTATACTCTATAGTGACAGTAAAAACTTAGTAATTTTGTAAATACTATGTAAAAGGTTGAAACTTATACAGGTCTATAAAAATTGCATATAATTTTGTCATAATTTTATACATACTATAAAGGAAATAGGATTTTAAAGTTCAAATAATTTTTCACGGGTTGGGTTTCAATTTACTCAGACACTCTTTTAAGTTAAGCTTCCCTGGTAGAAGTGCCGCACCATACTTTACTTCAGTCTTGGGCTGGCATCTGTGTAGAACCACGGGTCTCCTATTAGTTAGCTAAGTTAGCTGATAAGCTTCCTCAATATAACACTCAAAAAGTCCCTGGCAGGACTTGAGCTCGCAGCAGTGAGGATTAATATGAGCCGCGTCACGACACAACCAACAAGTGCGTCTGATCAGAATCCATGCTGTTCGCTATCAGTTTCTCTACTTGTAATAGGGTTGGTAAGCAAACAGCATGGATCCTGATCAGACTGCCCAGGCTGGTCTGGATCCATGCTGGTCGCAAAGGCACTGTGTTGGTTTTGTCGTGACGCGTCTCATATCTTGATTAATATTTTAGGCTTATCATATAAAATACATATTCTGTACTTACTGTATTGTAAACTTTTGCTGCCAATCATTATGCTTTCAAGGGGAGGTAATTTTTCTTGTGATAGCACTGCCTGTAAAACAAAATTGATGAAAAATATTGATGAAATAGTAGTGGAAATTTTACTTCTCACATCAGCTTTAAAGATTTATTTATTCTTTAATATTTTTTCTTATTAAATTTCTGGACACTGTTTTGATACTGAGGAATGTGGTTGCACTTCAAACTATGGCCAATAACAAATCATCTTAAACAAGATATGTTTGTAAAACATGTATGCCCCCTATCTGCAGCCAATTTGTCATGTGATCAGGTTATTATGCATGACTTCTGACCCAGTGAACAAGCAATTAATAAGGGTTATGTAGTATCTACTGGTCATGACTGGTCACAAGGTATTAATTATTGTGACCCCATAGGTTGTGTGCAGCAATTAAAGTTATTAAAAATCTTACCAAATAATATATACATAAATTTTATGAATCACATAGGCCTCATTAATGAAAGCCATGATGTTATATTACATAAGACCTTCAAATGTGTATACCAAAAGCACATAAAAATATCAACCAAGGCAACTTGAGTTGTTGAGTTATTGGTCAGAAACGGTCATTAAGTACAAGGTCACTATGACATTGACCCCTTGACCCCAAAATCAATAGGGGTCATCTACTGGTCATGACCAATCATCATACCAATTTTGAAGTTCCTAGGCCTAAGGGTTCTTTAGTTATTGAACGGAAACCGTTTTTACCTACAAGGTCAATGTGACCTTGACCGTTGACCCCTTGACCCCAAAATCACTAGGGGTCATCTGCTGGTCATGACCAATCATCATACCAACTTTGAAGTACCTAGGCCTAAGCCTTTTTTCATTATTGATCGGAAACCGTTTTTACCTAAAAGGTCAATGTGACCTTGACCTTTGACCCCAAAATCAATAGGGGTCATATGCTGGTCATGACCAATCATCATACCAAGTTTGAAATTCCTAGGCCTAAGCGTTCTTTAGTTATTGATCAGAAACCGTTTTTACCTACAAGGTCAATGTGACCTTGACCTTTGACCCCTTGACCCCAATATCAATAGGGGTCATCTGCTGGTCATGACCAATCATCTTACCAAGTTTGAAGTCTCTAGGCCTAAGGGTTCTTTAGTTATTGATCGGAAACCGTTTTTACCTACAAAGTAAATGTGACCTTGACCTTTGACCCCTAAATCAATAGGGGTCATCTACTAGTCATGACCAATCATCATACCAAGTTTGAAGTTCCTAGGCCTAAGCCTTTTTTAGTTATTGATCGGAAACCGTTTTTACCTACAAGGTCAATGTGACCTTGACCTTTGACCCCTTGACCCCAAAATCTCTGGGGTCATCTGCTGGTCATGACCAATCACCATATCAAGTTTGATGATCCTAGGCCTAAGCGTTCTTGAATTATTTATCGGAAACCGTTTGAACATACAAGGTCAATGTGACCTTGACCTTTGACCCCAAAATCAATAGGGGTCATCTACTGGTCATGACCAATCACCATACCAAGTTTGAAGTTCCTAGGCCTAGGGGTTCTTTAGTTATCACTCGGAAACCATTTGGTCTAGTGCAAAGCAATATACCCCCTCTTCTTCGAAGTGGGGGCATAACTAGGAATATCTATTTGAAAGCTGAGAACAGTATCATATTAACATTTTTCAGGGCAAACACATCAAATATCTATCAAATAGGAAGTATCTTATCTCGAATTACTAAAACTTACAGTCTAAACTAAGCATATTTAAGACATTGTCCTTCAACAATAAAAGATATTCCAAAAATGAAAATAAATGTGATGAATAAAGGAACATGTCTGCATCAAAGAGGAAAAGTTAAATACAATTAAATAATATATGTATAGCATAGGTTTGAAATATCAAGATTTTTTCACTTTCATTCCAATGGCTGTCAAAATTCTTGCTAAAATAAGCTAGACATCTTCCAAACATAGAAAGATCCAAAAGTTCACACACACATTGGAAAAGGGCAATATATCTGAACCTAATGAAACAAGAGCTAAAGGTAAGACAGCATGCTTGACTCTTTTCAGTGCTTGAAGGCAGAACTAGAGCCTAGATAGAGTAGACTTTTCTAGTTAAAAATGAGCCATAATTCTGTCAAAATTCTTATTAAAGATATCGGCCTTAGATAGTGATTTCTTATTATGCTCTGAAATAAGTGTTTAAAGTTTCAAGCTCATTCCCTCCAGTAGTTTTAGAAATACCAACTTGCATGCAAAACTTAACCAAAGTGTGAAGGCCACTTTGACACCTAGGTTAGTACAACAGCTCTCCATATTCAAAAGCTCTCCATATTTTTTAAATAGTCAACCTAATAAAAAAATGATTATCTTACATTTGCCAAAGCTGTATAGAAACTCCTGGCTACACCACTTCCTTCACCTGGCTCGTCTGTAAATGTCACCTTCACCCTATGTACTGCCAGAGGTGGTCCACTTGTATTAGTCCTTCGATTAAAGTACGTGTTTAACTGTTTAAAAGATTGGGTGATGAGCTGATTTCTTGATCTTACAACCTGAAAGAAGGAAGGTTTAACAGTTCAATTTTAGAACATTTAAAAATTTAGTAATGTTATAATCTAATACATTAAGACATTTCTTACAAGTCCTTCTGCCATATCTCTAAAATAATGAATGTATTAATAATTTAACAAAACTCACTTTCTTAAATTTTTGAATATATTTATACTTTAACAGAACTCTCTTGAAAATTGCAGCCACACTTTTTTCCAGTGTAGTCATGTGCTAACTTCATCTCATAAATTACTGCTTATGTAAGAAAACAAGAGGGCCATGATGGCCCTGAGGTCGCTCACCTGTATATAGGCCTCCCCCCCCCCCCCCCCCCGGGCCAATTTTAACCCAAGGGCTTTTATTTGAACAAACTTTGTTAACACTCACTAGAAGATGTTTCATGCTTAATATCTAAACTCTAGCTATTTGGGTTTTTTCAAAGCAGATTTTTTAAGTTTTTGCTATACACATATAAGGAAAATCAATGACCCCAAGGCGGGTCCAATTTTGACCAAAGGGCTTTTATTTGAACAAACTTTGTAGACACTCACTAGAAGATGTTTCATGCTTAATATCTAAACTCTAGCTATTTGGGTTTTTTCAAAGAAGATTTTTTAAGTTTTTGCTATACACATATAAAGAAAATCAATGACCCCCGGGGCGGGGCCAATTTTGACCCCAGGCCTTTTATTTGAACAAACTTTGTAGACACCCATTAGAACATGTTTCATGCTAAATATCTAAGCTCTAGCTCTTTGAGTTCTTTAAAAGAAATAGCTCTTTGAGTTCTTTAAAAGAAGATTTTTTAAGTTTTTACTATATATATAGGGTCAAAATCAATGACCCCCTGGGGCGGGGCCAATTTTGACCCCAGGGCTTTTATTTGAACAAACTTGGTAGACACTCATTAGAAGATGTTTCATGCTAAATATCTTAGCTCTAGCTCTTAGGGTTTTTTAAAAGAAGATATTTAAAGTTTTTTCTTTCAGTTGCCATGGCAACCAGAGTTCTGCATGGAATTAAATTCTTTGAACAATTTTTAAAGGTGACCACCAAAGGAACATTCCTGAGAAGTTTGGATGAAATTGGCTAAGTGGTTTATGAGGAGTTGTCATTTAAAGTAAAAGTTTACGGACAGACGCCGGACGGACGCCGGACGAAAAGCGATCACAAAAGCACACCCTGTCACAAAGTGACAGGTGAGCTAAAAACAAGACGTGAACTACAATTAATTGTACTTCCAATGTCTGTAACTACCTTTCAGCTACATAAAAATGCTTTTGAGCAACATACCTCTAAGCTAAGATCACGTTGTTGCGAGTTCCGTATCTTTTCCATCTCTCTACGGAATTTGCTCTCTTTCACAGGAAATCCTCCTAGCTCGCTAATAACCGAACCTTGTTCTGCCCCTACGTCGTCACAGAATACGCGGCCAAACAGATCCAGCGCCAGCCGCCATCTTCCCAGCAAAGCATCATGGGATATCATCTGAGAACGTGTAGGAGGTTGTCTAAATGATAAAATGAATAGGTAAAATTGTAGGCAGTGTTTATTTCCAATCATCTTTAGAAGGATTCATAAAAATGATCCATTCAAAATGCCAAACTGTGCCTCTAAAGATGGTTTCCAAAAATTCCCAAAAATCATAAAGGTTTACTTAATTTCAAGAATTAAAATCTCCAATAAGCAAAAAAAATAAGAAGCAACACTATAAGAAAATGCAATATTTATATTTTGATCAGATTTATGATCTGATTTAAGCTCATTTGTGGAGAAAGTTCTTTTGATTTGTATGTATCAATTTCAAGTCCACTTTCCGGACCCTACATCTATTATCATGTATGACAGTTAAAACATACTAACAACCAGAACATTCGAAAAAGAGTATAATAATATCTCTTTTTGATGTTGCAAACTTTCGACCAAGCAAATGTTTTTATCACAGGTTTACTGAGATGAAAATACAATCAAATTTTACTATCAGGACGGAAAATTTCTTCCATCATACCCAAAATCTCAATCAATATTCTAAGTAAACGGAGTTAAAAATATAAAAGATAAAGCAAGAATTTTGATGGACTTTAAAGTTCTTTGATTTCTGCAGAAATATGCTGTAACAGAATTTGAGTCACTTTAGAGTTGACTGTATTTCTTCAATATCACATATTTATTATTATAGGTTTTTTACATAACACCAACACAGTAGAGGTCATATGTGACTTTCCAGCTTTACTGGTGGAGGAAGACCTTAGGTGCCCTTCTGACCGTTATTTCAGGCACAAACGGGCACCTGAGTAGAACCACAAACGTTCCATAAACTACCTAGTGGGAGGGGCAAGCGATTTGAAATAATTCTCCTTAATATCACGTAAATCACAGACAAAAAATGCAATCTTAACTTCATACCTTGACACAGCCTGTGCACCTTGCGATGTTTCTATGACAACAGTGTTAGAGACATTTTCATTGGCTCCTACCATGTCCATAGGTGTATCGGTAGAACTGAATAAAACAAATTATTTCTTTCTCACTGATAACCTGTACCACACAACATTACAAAGGCATTGATAATAACAGAATTATTTTTCTCAACAACATCCGTGCATTACGACCAGGCTTTATACTGCTGACTGATAATTAACAAAATTAATTAACGTCCACTAAAGAAATTCATCACATTTCAGATATATCGAGTATTAAGTGACTTGCCCCAAAAAAATCTCCCTACAGAATTATACGAAGCTTATACTTCATAAATAATTTCTATGCTTACCTTGTGTTTGCTGTAGCAGTTGGAGGTCGTGCCGGTACCTGTTGCAGGGTGGTCAAAGCAGCTGCAGACTTGCTAAGATCAAGGGAACCATCAGTGTCCATACTCAATGGCACATCTGGAGCCTGGCTTGAGCCAGGTACCTGGCTTGACGGGGCGTCACTAGACCTACCCGAACTCAGATCCAGGCTCCTACTTTCAACACGTGACAGATCTAGGCTTCCCATTTCCAAGCTACTAGCATTTTCTGGATATGATGAGTCTGTTTGTGAAAGACTCGAGCCCGATATTCCATGACCTGGAGGAGTGATTGGCGAGGACTCTGGCAAGCTTGGTGCAGCAGACATTGCTCCCTGGCTACCTAATGTGGAACTGCTGGGTAAAGAGTCCGACCTAGTACCTGGTCGAACAGGGCTCTCGCCTGTCACGCTATATTCTGTAACACCACTACTGCCGGACAGTTGTGACTGTAATGGACCAGAGCTTCCAAGTGACAATGCCATACTACCAGTCGTGTTGCCGACCCCGGTAACACCACTGCTCCCTGCATGATCGGAGTATGACTGAGTCCTTCTAGATGGAGTTTCCAAGGAGATTGACATGTCCATTGGAACAGGTTGAGTACTTTGAGAGTTGTCTGCTGCACTTGCATCACTCGACAATGTGGCCGACCTTGACTGATTAGTGCTGAGATCTAAACTGGTCTCTTGACTAGATAGGGCTAAATCTCTCTCAAGTGATACTGAAATAAAAGAAAATAAGCATAACTAGCAAAAGTCATACACACTATATTGAGGTGACAAAGAATTTTTTTTATTGTAATACATCCAAGGAAGAGCTCAAGATGCATTATTTGAGGCAAAAAGAGTAGAAGCAACAAAATTATAAAGGTTGCTCATACAAGTTTGACAGTTAAAACAATAGATGTTAGTGAAACAAAGTAGTCATTTTTAAATTGACTTTTCAATGTTACCTTTTTTTAGATTATCTAGACATGACAAATCTCCCTACAAAATCTATAGACTATAGGCAAAAGCAAAGCTGTTATTGGCCCTTACCAAGGTCACAGTGAGCATGACCTTTAGCATACTGACCTTGAAATTAAAAGAGGTCATCTACTTGTCATGACCAATCTATACATCAAATCTGTAGTTATTAATCAGATAAGCATTTTCATGCTAAGTGACCTTGACCTTAGACCAAATGACCTCAAAATCAGTAGAGGTCAGATCTTTCTTTATTGATCAGAAAAACGTTTTGTGCAGTGACCTTGAGTGTTGATTTAATGAATACATAAACAGTACTTATTATCACAGTATCTCAACAACAATATCTGAGGAATGTAGGCCAAAACATTCCCTTGTTATTAATGGAAAAGCTTTTTGTAGTCAAGGTTATGGATACCTTGACCTTTGACTGTTTAACTTAAAAGTCAATAGGGGTCATCTATAAATCATGACAAACCTTACACCTAATCATCACAGGACTGTATGCCAGTGTTCTTTAATAAGACAAGGTCTGGTCTACAGACAAATCAGATGGACAAACAATACGCAAAGCAATATACCTAAACTTCATCTAAAGCGGGAGAGGGTGAGGGCATAATTACCCAAATTTTATCAATAGCAAGAGTTGATGATGCAAAATTTTGTCAAACTTATAGTTAATCTCAATAACATAACAAAACATAACATATTCAAAATGATAAAATTCAAAAATGACTAAAGTTTCAGCAATAACCACATTATATGAAATGTTTAAGTCATGACAAACAGAAATCTAATCATAACACTAATTGATTTCAAATTCCTAATCCAGATAAAAGGGGAAACAGGTATCACAATATTGCTATTGATGCCTAAAAAAACAACAATAAAAACATGAAAGATTAAAGAAATAATTGTTCAAGTCAAGATGAAAATACAGTTCTACAATACCTGTAGATGCTTGATTTCTAGATGGGGATTGTCTAGAAACTGCTGCAGAGCCTTGTGATTGGCTAACATCTGAGGTCACAGGTGTCATAACCATTGATACAGGAGATTCGGTGTTACCCACCCCTTGCACACTTCCAGCCGGCTGCATAATTACCGGGGTGGAGGTAGATGCTCTTGAAGGAGATGGGGCAGATGTGATAACAGATTCGGAAGTCAATGGTATATTTACAGCAGTTGTTCTCAAATCACTTGGCAGAGGGTCACTGACATTAAATATAGGGGAACTTGCCGATAGCAAGTTAACTCCCATGCTAGCAGACGATATATTTGCAACAGAAACATTAGCTGAAATTGCTGTACTTGAGTGAACTATGACACTTGGCTGGTGAACTTCCGCCCTTTCTGACGATGCCTGTGGCGTCGTTGAAACGTTTACTACTGGATAAATACTTCGAACGGTTGGAGAACCGGATTGCACTGCAGGTGGCACACTACTAGTCTCGCCCTGTGAGGTTGGTCTAGCAGACTGAACACTTGAATCATATGCTGATGAGAAAAACGGGGATGATATTGAAGGGTCGCCGGAATCCCAGACCGGTGCTGGCTGATATGTTGCTGAACGTACAATTACACTAGCACCTGTGTTAGACTGGTTATCGTTAAATCCACTTGGAACACTAGACTGGTTATCAGTCTGCAATTTACCAGAAGCTCCCGACTGTGATTCAGGCACTCTAGCAGATAAAGATAAATGCAACGGAAGTTTATCTAGCACACTTTCACTACCAGGTACAGTCTTTTCATCCACTGTGGAATTCGGGACAATAGTCTGCTTAGCAACACCGAACAAATCCTCCCGCCTTGCATTCGGCTGCAGAAGATGTGGCTGATCAGCCAATGGCAATGCTTGAACAAGTGGTGTCTGAAAAGGATCGGGTGGCGGGCAACCCAGAAATAAAGTTGAATCTGACCTCTGGAAAAACGTATGTTTGCGACCTTGTTTCCCAGACATCTCGCCATCGCCGTCTATACTCTCTGTGTCCATAGACATTGCATTGTTTAAATCGTCATCGTGATCATCATTCTCGTTCTCATCATGCTCCTGCCACGATATCACAGATATACCGTCACGAAGGACGTCTGTGTCCGTATCCGTTCCGCTCCTCATGTAGTAAATCAGAGCGTCAAATACGTATGCCACATGACGTAACGATGCAATATCTATAACTGGTAAGGAGTCCGAATGTTCATTGTTATGTGATCTCATTAAAGATAAGGCATAGTTTAGAAAATCTCTCCTTGCATTATTCCCATGGTCAGTGGTACCTGTAAAACATAAAATAAATTCAATGACTTTTGCCTTCAGCTTTTCTTTAGGTTAAATATGTTATTTTTAGATAAATCATAACACTAAAATTCTTAAACAACCAAACAATTTTCTTTACTGGAATAAGTACAGATTTAAAATTAAGTGGATTTTAAAAAATCTTATTACAGTTATTCTTTCCTAGTGATAAAATTTTTAAAAAATGTGTTCTTAAAACAAATAAAATTTCTTCAGCTAAAAACCAGTTTATTCTGAAAAAAGGATATTTACAAAAATCCATACCATTTCTAACATTCTAGTACATTATTACCATGCAGTACAAATAAAGTTCTGCGAGCTAGTTCAATTTACAGTTCAGTTTATGAAATAAGAATCATTAAATATTTAAATTCGTATTACTTTATCTGCAAATAAAACAAAAGCAATACCTCCAAGGGCACCAAATCTTTGTCGTCGCCGTGTATCAACCACTTGTAAAATCGGTGTCTCTTCTCTTCGAGTACGCTCCCGGGCAGTCCTTACATGGCACAGAGGGTGACTGGGATTGGCAGGGTCTGATGTGTTACTCAGGGCAGACCCGAATCTCAGCTGGGCCTCAGTCGAGTCAAGAATAGTGATCAGCCAGTCCCATGTTGGCTTTAACTGATACTCTAAATACAGCTGAAATAATAAACAAAAACTTTATAAAACAAACATGCCTCACAAATCTGCGCTTTCAGAGCCATTTTGGGATAAATCACTCCAATCAGCGGTATAACTTTCACATAACTGGCAACAGAAGCAATAGCAACATGATATTCATAATGTTTCCTGATTATCAATTGAAGGCACATTATGCCTCAGAAATCCATATTTTTTTAATTCTTTAGAAATGTCAAACATGCGTTTAATAATGTTTTAATAATGGATTTAGAGCATGTTAGATGTTCAACAACTGAAAAAAGTAGCGCTGGACAGGCAGTGATGTGTCATAAAGGTAGCAAAATGTAAACAAAGTAGTATTTTGACCTCCATTCAAAATACTACTTCACTAAATATTCCATTTGCAAACAGAGCAAAAACAAGAGCTGTCTGTAGGACAGACAGCATGCTCGACTATTCTAAGTGCTTGATAGTAAAACAGCCTTGATAATGTTAAATTTTTTAAGTTCACAAAAGGGCTATTTTTTTTTTTATAAATTCATGTTATAGGCCTTAGAGAGAGTCTAATTATACAGTATTGGCTTGACTATTCAGAAGGTAATGTCACAAGGGTGTTTTATTGAGTATAATAATACTAATTACCTATGAATACATAAATTTGACAGAAAAGGTACAAAGGCTTGTTATTAAGATGTTTTATCAAGTAAATCACTGCTTTATTATTATGAATGCACAAAATTGTCCCAAAAAAGGCACAAACCCTTTAGTAGTTATTGAGATAACAGCTTACAAGCAAAACTTTACCATGAATTTCTAAGTTGAAAAAGGGGAGAAAAATCAGCCTAAATGCAAGATAGAATTATGGATCTTTGTCAGTGACCTACAATTATGACCCTAAATGCATATGTGAAGTTTTAAATAAATATCTTTAATAGTTATTGAGATATGTAAAACTTGCATGTAAACATTTACCAAGAGACTAAGTAGAAAAGGGGATATGAATCAGCCTTAATGCAAGATAGAGTTATGGAACTTGGTCAGTGACATACAATTATGACCCTCCAATTATGACCCTAAGTGCATGTGTAAAGTAGTAAATATCTTTGAAGACCTTTAACCTTTAACCAAAATTTCTAAGTTTCAAAGGGGCAAACAATTCTGCAAATATTGCAGGCAGAGTTATGCAATTTTGCAAACTGATGTACATTGTTACTATAAAAGAGTGTTTTAAATTTCAATTGAATATCTCGAGCAATAATTGAGATATGTGACTTTACAAAAAAACTTTAACCAAAATTTCTAAGTTCCAAAGGGGCATAATTCTGTCAATATTGTAGGCAGAGTTATCCAACTTGTCAATCTGATGTACCTTGTTACTATAAATAAGTATTGTAAGTTTGAATTGAATATTTCAAGCAATAATTGAGATATTTGACTTTACAAAAAACTTTAACCAAAATTTCTAAGTTAAAAAGGGGCATAATTCTGTCAATATTGTAGGCAGAGTTATCCAACTTGTCAATCTGATGTACCTTGTTACTATAAAAAAGTATTGTAAGTTTCAATTGAATATCTCAAGCAATAATTGAGATATTTGACTTTACAAAAAACTTTAACCAAAATTTCTAAGTTGAAAAGGGGCATAATTCTGTCAATATTGTAGGCAGAGTTATCCAACTTGTCTATCTGATGTACCTTGTTACTATAAATAAGTATTGTAAGTTTCAATTGATAATCTCGAGTAATAATTGAGATATTTGACTTTACAAAAAACTTTAACCAACGCAGACGCCGACGCTGACGCCGACGCCGACGCCGGGGCGACTACAATAGCTCTCATATTCTTCGAATAGTCGAGCTAAAAAAAAAGATAGTTATATTTATACAGCAATTGAGTGTTTTGTGGAAACTGGGACAAGATACCAAATGTAGAAATAGAAAGCCTATGAGAAATGTAAATTATAGCATTTCTATGGCATAATGGGCCTTTAAATATGTCAGAAATCAGATTAATCATGGTACATACCTGGAGTTCTAGGGCCTCCTGATCTGATATATCCAGTATCCTAGGTAACGTCGGGGCAAGGGCGTGGTAGTCCTGTAACATTGTTAAAAGGTCGGCTATCTGACGCACCACAATGCCGAACGACCTTGCCAGCTGACTGCATGTGGTTGCCATGGTGATAGGTGCCTCCGGGGTCACGGCAGCAGCTGTTGTGACAGTCGTCCGGCGAAGATTTGAGGGGTCTATATAAATCAAACTGCTTCCACCTCCTGACAACAGCAAAAATAATATAAAGTCAGAAAATATAATAAATCTACACAAAACAAACTCAATAAACATAACTGGTCCCGGAAGAGGCTTGTTGGGCAAACACCCGACCAGTCTATCAGTGCCTAACTAAGGCTATAAACTTGTTTTTTCTTGATTTCTTTATCTAGTTTACCTCCTCAATTTACTGTGAGGTATTTACCTCCTTAATTTACTGTGAGGTATAGTCAAATTCTGATTTGATATACGGCTTTAGTCAAATTCTGATTTGATATTTGGCATTATAAATTCAACTAAATAATTTATCTATCAAACCACAATCTAAAGTCTCGGTACTGTAACTTGTATGACAAATTTTAAGAGAAAGGGAAAGAAAAGTAAAATTGAAACACAAAAGCCAGAAGTAAAATAAATAAATAGCATTAACTTATACATGTAGGTCATTTTTGCCCCAGAATTACTTAAATTTTCATGTCTCAAAAGCTTTTTATTTTTGGTGTACTATTGTAGTTTCCAAAAATTTGCTCCTTGACCAATTACTTGAACCATCTTTTTCTTCTGTTGCTTTTTGGTAATTCATACCCTTATACTAGTGATTAAGTATATCATATGGAAGTCAAAATACTACTTTGTTTACATCTTGTTACTTTTTTTTAACAAATAGCTACTTTCTTCAGGTGATAAGCATCTAACAAGCTGTAAACCCATTATTTCAATGTTACAAAACTCATATTTGCTCTTTCTAAAAAACATTATAACTAGAAATGTGTCCATAGGACACGGGTGCCCCCACCGCGCCACTGTTCGGTCAATCTTATGACTCTAGGTCAAATATTTTTTGAAAACTTAAAATCTTTTACCAAGTAAAGGGCAAGAACTTTACAAATAATGAATCCACAAGCAAACCCCAAGGTGCATAAGTACACATGCTGACCAACATTCTTGTAAACTTTCAGGCCTACAAGTGAAATACTTTTTGAGCTATGCATGAACAAGTTGAAAATTGCAAATTTATACTACTGTAAGTCAAGGGCAATAACTCTAACAAAACTGAAAAAAATCCACATGCAAAGTCCCAGGTGCATAGCTTCACAGTGATGTGAATCATTATTCTTGTATTTTAGTGATGTTGATCATTATTCCTGTAAAGCTGGTTGATTCTAACGCAAGCACTCAAGGAACAAATAACAACATAATGAAACAGTTTTTACTAAGTCAAGGGAAATAACTCTACAAATACTGGATAAATCCACAAGCGAAACCCCAGGTGCAAAACTTTATATGCTGAGCAACTTTCCCGTGAGGTTTAATGACTCTACATGTATGTCAAATCCTTTTTGAGTTACATGCGACACAAGTTGAAAATTGCAAAATTTTACTAAGTCAAGGGCAATAACTCTAAAAATACTAAAAATATCCAGACGCAAATACCCAGGTGCACAACTACACATGCTGATCAACATTCCTGTAAAGTTTCATGACTCTAGGTCAAATCCTTTTGGAGTTACATGCGACACAAGTTAAAAATTGCAAAATTTTACTAAGTCAAGGGCAATAACTCTAAAAATACTAAAAATATCCAGACGAAAATAACCAGGTGCACAACTACACATGCTGATCAACATTCCTGTAAAGTTTCATGACTCTATGTCAAATCCTTTTTGAGTTACATGCGACACAAGTTGAAAATTGCAAAATTTTACTAAGTCAAGGGCAATAACTCTAAAAATACTTAAAATATCCAGACGAAAATACCCAGGTGCACAACTACACATGCTGATCAACATTCCTGTAAAGTTTCATGACTCTAGGTCAAATACTTTTTGAGTTACATGCGACACAAGTTGAAAATTGCAAAATTTTACTAAGTCAAGGGCAATAACTCTAAAAAAAACTAAAAATATCCACAAGAAATTACCCAGGTGCACAACTACACATGCTGATCAACATTCCTGTAAAGTTTCATGACTCTGGGTCAAATACTTTTTGAGTTACGTGCGACACAAAAGTGAACAGACGGACGAACGGAAGGACGGACGGATGGAAGGACGGAAGTTCTCACAGGACAGTAATTATGTGGCTACTCTATTGTTCTCTCTATTGTTCTTTTTAGCCACACAAAAGAAAATAGCCACATAAAAGCATTGCGGAATGAATGACATCAAAGAGAAAGAACAGTTACCTATTGTCCCTCTAGCCACATAATTACTGTCCTGTGAGTGCGGACGGACAGACAGACAAGGGTAAATCTAAATGCCCGCCACTAAAGTGGGGGCACAAAAATATTCATTTCTGAGGCTAAATGGGCCTTTAATACTAAATTAGATGTTTAGAGATTATAAGGTTGTTACCTGCGGTGGTGGCTGTAGTTGTGGCTACAGCTGGCGGAGCCCGGGTACTGCTCTGAGGCTCTCTCTGTCTAATTGCCCACTGCATTGTTTGCGGAGCCTGCAATGTCCTCTGACCTTGATTGGCTGAAATAAAAAATACCAGAAAACAATATAAAATTAAGCTATTCATTTCTTCATTTTCTTAATAAATTACAAATATAACATAACATTTCTTCCATATATTCCTTTCTAAAAGTGAGGAATGGAAATTTGTTATTTAATAGAATACTGGACGCGATAAAAATAAGCTAAACAGTGCCCCATTTGAGTAATAAATTACAAATGTAACATAACATTTGTTCAATTGATTCCTTTCTCACATTGAGTAATGGAGAATATTATTTATAATCAAGAACACTTCATTCTTAAAATATTTTGTAAACATTTTATCTTAGAAAATTCTGATGATTTTGCAATGATTTTGTAGTGTTATTTACCACTGTTTCTATTCTGTACAATATATGACTATAGATATGTGTGTGCGTGTTGATTACCAAATGAATGTTTCTCTTTAGTTTTCTATAGACTGCTATGAAAAAAGTTTATAAAAAATTTTTTAAGGTCCATTGTGTTGTTGAAACACCCAAATTTTTTCCTGAAATCAACCAGTACTAAGCAAAGATATAAAGTTTCTTTCTCAAGGAAATTATGACTTGCCCCTGACGGGGTTTGAACCCATGCGGCCAGCAACCTCTAGATTACTAGTCCGACGCATTAACCACTCAGCCACTCAGTTGGACCTAGTAGATACCAAAACTAGTTTAAAACTAAATTCTACCAATGGCTGGTAATGTATGAAAGTAACTCGCCCTACCTGCAGCATTATTTCTACGTTCAAGTTGTTCATCGAGGGTACCAAGGTCTTCCCCTTCGTGTTCCTCACTGTCCCCGCCCTCACTTTCATATTCGTCCTCCTGGTTGGACGATTCTCCCGAGTCAGAGAAATGAGCCAAGCTTCCCATACCTGAAGTGCAAAGTTAACCAAATATGACTATAGAATCGAGAACATATTGTTACGTTTTTACATATTACATTCTGTTTAGATATTTTCTTTCATCACAAAATGTGTCCCCTTTACAATCACTGCCATATAACTATTTAAGCAACCTTCAGCTTTTCTAAAGTTATTTTTAGATAAATCAAGAGAATTCAGGTGGAAAATGAAATTTGCCGGTGATAAAATACATAAACAACAAGCAAATTCGTTGAATTTATATCCCCCGCCGAGTACTGGTTATTATTAACACAACAACTGAAGACATAAGGCTTTATTTATATATTAATCATGGCATAAACTGTAATATTCTTTGAACTTGAAGCCTTGTACCTTCAAACAAGAAGAATTTTTAAGTTTTCACTATATACATATAAGGAAAATCTATGACCCACTGGAGTGGGGCCAATTTTGACCCCAGGGCTAAAATTTGAACAATTTTGGTAGAGGACCTATAGGTTATATCATATACCAAATATCAAAGCTCTAGGCCTTGTACTTTCAGACAAGATTTTTTAATTTTGCATTTTTGAAACTCCTTTTCTGGCCCTGTGACCTACTTATGCAACAGACCGGAACCATTTGATCAACTTTGGCAGGGGACCACCCTAGGATCATTCCTGTAAAGTTTGGTTGCTGTGCAGTCATTTGTTTCTGAGGAGATGTTGTTTAAAGAAATTGCTGACGACGCAAGACGACGGACTGTGGGGGATCACAATAGCTCACATAGATGTAAAAACATCTTAATCTCCAGACTTCATTGCCATATTCAAGGCATCAAGAAGGGATCTCACAATTTTCAAATATTTTTAAATGTTATTGTAACAAATCATTTTAATTCTTCTTTAATAAAAACTAGAAATGTGTTCATAGGACACAGGTGCCCCCTTCGCGCCACTGTTCTGTCAATCTTATGACTCTAGGTCAAATATTTTTTGAAAACTAAAAATCTTTTTACTAAGTAAAGGGCAAGAACTTTACAAATACTGAATAAATCCCCAAGCAAACCCCAAGTTGAAAATTGCAAATTTATACTACTGTAATTCAAGGGCAATAACTCTAACAAAACTGAAAAAAATCCACATGCAAAGTCCCAGGTTCATAGCATCACAGTGAGGTGAATCATTATTCCTGTAATTTAGTGATGTTGATCATTATTCCTGTAAAGTTGGTCAATTCTAACTCAAGCACTCAAGGATCAAATAACAACATAATGAAACAGTTTTTACTAAGTCAAGGGAAATAACTCTACAAATACTGGATAAATCCACAAGCGAAACCCCAGGAACAGACTAAATATGCTGAGCAACTTTCCAATAAGGTTTAATGACCCTATGTCAAATCCTTTTTGAGTTACATGCGACACATGTTGAAAATTGCAAACATTTACTAAGTCAAGGGCAATAACTCTAAAAATACTAAAAATATCCAGACGAAAATACCCAGGTGCACAACAATATATACTGATCAACATTCCTGTAAAGTTTTATGACTCTAGGTCAAATACTTTTTGAGTTACATGCGACACAAGTTGAAAATTACAAAATTTTACTAAGTCAAGGGCAATAACTCTTAAAATACTAAAAAATCCAGACGAAAATACCCAGGTGCACAACTTCACATGCTGATCAACATTCCCATAAAGTTTCGTTGAATTCCAGCCAATAGTTGCAGAGAACTACTCCGGAAACGAAATTCGGACAAAATTTTACTGAGTCAAGGGCAATAACTCTAAAAATACTAAAAATATCCAGACGAAAATACCCAGGTGCACAACTTCACATGCTGATCAACATTCCCATAAAGTTTTCTTGAATTCCAGCCATTAGTTGCAGAGAACTACTCCGGAAATGAAATTCAGACGGACGGACGGATGGACGGACGGACGGACAACGCCAAAACTATATCCCCCTCCCGATTCCATCGGCGGGGGATAATAAGGAAACTACTTGAAACCTCTAAACTACTGGTCCACTCTCTAATTGTACATTAGTAAAGCGGACACATTTCTTTTATTTTTAGAATCGAACTTCACTGGTGTTTTATAGAAGAAGTTTTAACATATAAATTCTTTCGGGCATATAAAAAACATTACTACATAACAACTAGCGTACACAACAATACAAATTTTTACCAGCATCAGATCCTGCTGTTGCCATGGTAACAGCGCTTCTCTGTACACTGACATTGTCTTGGTTACTGTGCATACTCTCGCTATCACTCTCCGACTCGGCGAGCAGGTCTAGGTCCATGTCGCTCTCGGCAACGTCGTCCTGTTCCGGCGGCTGTTGTTCATGCTCGGAATGTTCCGACTGCCTGTCATCGTTATCCGACTGGTGGCCGTCATCGTTTCCCATCAATATACCACCAACCACTTCAATCTGTTTTGATAAATATAGAAAAACAATTCTGCAACAAAATTTGAACAATGGCATTTGTATATTTATAAATATAGAAAAAATATTTCTCTGATAAATTTTGAACAATGAAATTTGTATATTTTTAAAATATAGAAAATTTATACTTTGATAAATTTTGAACAATGAAATATATACATATATATTTTCAGATCTATGATAGGTTTTAAGGCGCAAGTATACAATTGTACTTTTAGTGCAAGATTTTAGCTTTCCTGAATAAAAGAAGGCTGACTTACATTTATCCATACATGTGCAAAGAAAAACAAGACGAGTGGGACCAAAAAAATGATTATCCTTTACCAATATTGAATCAGGCCAGTGTGCACATGTGTCATTTAAACAGGCTCTTCAATGTTGGTAGCTCAATTTTTTTTATTTAGACCATAAAATCCATTTAACTTGTGATGAACTGATCAAATCCACTTATCAAATTTCTGCAGATTAAAAAATGTAACCATTTACAAAACCTTTGACCTAAAAACTTACGTCTTCTTCAATGTCAACCGGCATCAATTCTTCCTCGTCCCTATCTCCAGCATCGAGGTTCTCCCTGTCACTGGGCATGTCTCGGTCCGGCACGCTGTGGGTAACGTACGACACGGAGTGGGCAGCCTCGTCAACAGAAGAAGTTTTAGGTGGCAGTGGGTCTACGCTAAATATCTCCTCACTTCCCTAAAGTCAGTAAAAATTGACAAAGGTTAACATTGTCAGTAAAAATTAACAGAGCAGTAAAAATTAACAACGGTAAACATTCTAACAGGTTATACAAATTATACATCTTTTCTCAGACAGTTGATTATACTAAATGAGCAGTTATGGTGAACAATTTGACATCAACAAACAAGGATGCAATATACAAAATCATGACTGAAGGAAAAGTATATTATACATTATACAAATATTCTTTAATTTCTTTTACACATAAGTTTCATCTGTATGCCTCATAATATTATTAATTTATAAGATACTTAAACTGCATCACCTATTCAAAAACTACACAGTGATGGTTTTGGGTTTCAATGTCTCACAAACACAGTATATGTCATATGGGACTTTCCAGCTTGACTGGTGAAGGAAGATTTTAGATGACCCTCATAGCATTATTTTATGCAAGAGTGGGCAACTGAGTAGAACCACCAATATTCTGCAGGCTTGCTTTCTCATATACAAGAATCCAAAGTCCCTGGAGGGGTTCCAACCTAGTGAGGGGCAAGTGGTGTAAAATTAACTAATATCAAGGGAAAGAAAGCCTCTCAAATACCTGAACAGCTTCGACATTTGCAGCCACCAATGAGAAAGGTGCAGTGGGCCTGGCAGCTCCAAGTCGAACAGGGGCTATCAGAGAGTTAGCTATCTCGCACAACTCCTCCACGGCTATATTGATCAGAGCTTGAAACGCTCTCTTACACTTCACCAGGGGTTGACAGGAAGGTATACCAGGGCTGTAAAATAAACAATGCCGAATTAAAGCTTCATGCCATTTGATGAGCCAAAATATTTCAAGACAAAAAAACTTGGGAAAAAGGTATTAAGATTGTAAGAAAAAGTAAAAAGATTCAATATTCAAGTAATAATTTATATATTACGTGAATTTAATGACTAATTTTGCAGTATTTGTCACCTTTCTGGGGGATAACTAGCCTTTAAACTAGACTTAACAATGGTCACAATATCTCATTTCTTACTCAAGTTATTGTCCGGTAAGTAACAAACTATATACAGTCAATAAAATAACAAAACATATGCATAGTGTTATTTTGTCTTCAATACAAAATACAAGGTAACAATTACTTTTCTAAGAGTAGAAAAACAAAAGATGGTTTAGCTAAAAGAGCAATGATGACAAACAGAACCCCCAACCCCCACCTAAAAAAAGAGAAAATTTTGGAAATACAAATGATAAGTGTTTTGGAGGCTTACTGAGACTTTAACCAACCCTAAGATTTGTTTTTCTCTTGGCAAATAGTCATCCTCATTCAACATCTATTTCCAGACTTACCTCTTTTTTTTACCAGAATTAGGGGTCATCTCTACATTAAGAACAACAAATATTCTAGCAACCGAGCGAATAAATCTTCGTGCCACCATCTTGGCCTCAGCCTTCCTGCCCTCAGTTGTCTCATTCCTCATCTCTCTTATCAAAGTAGTCAATAATGTATCTAGCATCTGTAAACAGAACAGCAATAATGTAGTCAATAATGTATCTAGCATCTGTTTTAGAACAGCAATAATATAGTCAATAATGTATCTAGCATCTATCACAGAACAGCTACAACATAGTATTAACAATGTTCCTAACAAAATATGCAACTTTTTCTAGAAGCTTAAACAAGAATTTTATGTGCATGTCAAGCTTTTTCATGAAAAATTTACAAATCATTCATTTTCCAGTTTATGTACTCCAATGACATTTATATTAGAATACAATATTAAAGTCAATTACAGACATCCAGTTCTAATTTTCACCCTTTAACCTCACTACAATTTTTTTTTTGATCAACATTATCAAATAGTTTAAACATATAGGTTTAAATAGCCCAAAATTCCCAATCGATACATCTTTGAAGTTGCACAAAGTTAACAATCCTATAAATAAACTTCACAGTCAAGATATATTCATTATCAACCATACCTCAACACTGCATTTCACAAGTAAACAGTGTGTAAACTTGTCAAGTCTTGCCGTTCCACTCTGACTCTCTAGGTACAGCTGTTCTTCATATACTACGTCTGGGTTAGTGCCTCTTTTACTACGCATGCCACTCAGTAACATGGCTTTCACAGCTGTCCAGTCATTGAGGATTCGCTCGAGGGCTCGACGACTGAATCTAGGTGGCTCCAGGTCATGTTCAGGCATTTCAACATCTATAAATAGAAATATACAATGAGATTTTTCTACCTTTTAAACAAGTAATTTTAAGCTATACAACGCTAGGTAAACAAAGTTTCATCCTATTAGACACTAAAGGTAACTTTCCAATATTCTTTCTCCATAACCATGCTGAATTGCTTACATGACCTTGTCTATCTTTCAATCTGGACAAAACCATTCATTATTTTAGGGAAAAGTTTCAAAGTAATAACTGACTGAATAGCAAACAGGCAGGGCCCGAGGTTATAAAGAAATTCTATAAGCTCAAACTCAGATCTCAGGTATTTGATTGGTCAGAAACTCCCACAAAATGTACACTGGCCAATGAAAAACCTGAGATTTGAGACAAGATTCAGAGAAAAATTTTTATAACCTTGAGACCTGACCATGATCAAAGGGCACAGATGTCCCTGCTGATCTTGGTCTGCACAAGTTACAGGGGTAGATGATTCAACAGCCACAAGCAATGTGAAGGTTAAAACGCAAGCTGCCACCATAGACAAACCATGAAGTAACACTGTACATTGACACTCACCCTCAATGTGCTACCTATATTTTAAATATGAACCACTCAAAAAAATGTCTTATCCCTATTCTTTGAAAATAAAACATTAAAAGTTAAATGACAATAGTTCATAAGCACACAAATGTAAGTCAATCTTTTTCCAACTATTAAAATAACTTAAAAGAGAATAGTTTGGGAAAAAATAATGCTTTTTAGAGAAGAAAAAAATAAAAAAAATATTTTTAAACCAGCTTTTAATTGAATACTCACCAAGATCATTATTAGGAGCTTTCCTTGGTGCAGCTGAGGTAACTCTAGTTCTGTTAGGTCTGTACTGACGTTGTTCCACCAACTGTCGACCTACCGTCTGTACCAGGAACAATAGGATATTCTCTCCCCTGAAATTATAACAAATCCTTATTATTATGACAAATCATTATCCTTAGGCATTATACCTTACATTCCTTCCCTTGTTTAAATTACTATATATGCATTGTTAACAAATATGTCATGTTTCACTTGAAAACTCTTTTTTGATGACAGATCATTATTATGTACCATCGCCACAGTGGTCGTGGTTTTTGTAGTTTACACTCAGGATCACGGCAGTAAGCCACATTAAAATTAAAAGAGCCCTGTTCAGACACTGCATCATTCCTGAGCAGGCTGTAAAGCAGTTTACCAGTACAAGTTGCCTTTACTTTCGCAAGCCACTGACATATTTTCTGTTGATGAGAAAGTTGAGGTACAGTGCAAATAACTATAGACTTTATGACCAATCACAACGAAAATGACCTGCACCGTTCAGAAATCAAACCTAGGTTGTTCAATTCAGAGTCCAATGCTCTACCTATTGAGCTCTCTGGAAGGTTCAACCATACTTATTAACCACTAAATACATTTTTATAAGTACCACCATGTTTTAAGGATTATTTTCTAAATCTCTTAAATAAAAAGATAAATGTGCAGCAGTATAATTTCCCCCTAAATTTGGAACAAAAGTAGGAAATGAAATACTGTACAGAAACATAACATTGAAGTTCCACCTACCTGCTGTTTGTCAGCGTAACAAGATCAGTTTCAACAAGAAGCCTATTCAGAAGATCCAGCCTGGGTCCTTGTTGACCAGCTATCAGAGCTTTACATTTACATTTCTCCCAGCAGTCACAGTAAGCAGTCGGTGAAGTACGCTTTAATCTGTAAATAAGTAAGTAAATTTATAACATTGTGACATTGTGTTATGTACAATGTATTGAAAAGTAATAATCAGTCTGACAAAAATTACATTTTTTTTTTTGCTTTTTATGTTTGCTTTTTATGTCGCAACAACACTGTTAATGTCTTGTAGCGACTATCCAGCTTTAGTAATGAAGTAAGTGCTAAGGTGCTACTCCATGCATTATTTCAGGCATAAACAGGTACCAGAGTTGTTTCTTTTTGCACAAACACCATTAAGGTGATATGGCGATTTTTTCAGCTTTGGTTGTTGAAGCAGACCTTGGGTGCCCCTCCCATTCATTATTTCAAGCACAATGAACCATGGACATTCCATAAGCTAACTGGGCAGCTTTCTCAAGTGACAGACATGGTCCTGACAGGATTTGAACCCACTGTAGTGTGGGTATATCAGCCTTCTAATATTATCTGGGTTGGGTGTTAAGTAATACAATCACTCTAGAGGTCATTGTCATGACATTCCAGCCTCATTTACGGAGCCACACCTCAGTCAATTTTAATTTTCAGTTAAAAATATTTATCATCTAAAGGAGCAACTTTGATACCAATTTCATTTCAATCACCAAAGCCTTAATAAATATCACCCATTCAACCAATATTTTCTGGTCCAAAATAATAATCAGTACTGGTCCAAAATAATAATCAGTATAAATTCGCAAAATTAGACAACAATTTGATGAAGCATAACCCTACTTTAAAAATTTTCTAATTTATCCTATGTAAAACTCTGTAAAAACCACTTTATTAATAAGTATAGTTATTTTCTAAAAAGTTTTTAGATAATAATCTTTCATTATTAAAGCCATTTTATTGTTAGAGAACACAACACAGCTACACACACAAAAAAGAACAACAACTAGAAATGTGTCATCATGCCACGGATGCCCCCGCATGCAGCCAAAATTTCAAATGTTATAATATTTAGTTCCAAATTTGTTTGCACAAATTATTTTTTTCATTCTAAGTTCAAAGCCCTTAAAACTTTTCAATGTTAACACAAACCATTTTTATACAATGTTCAAGGCACTGAAATTATAATTCAGTCTTAACCTTTTAAAAATAGCATATTGCATATTTGTAGCCAACATAATGGCTATATACATTTCCACAAAAGTATGAGTGCTGAAAGTTCAAAATTTTTCCAACATTCAGGAAAGATAAGTTTGTCTAAAATCATTGAACCACGACCAAATTCAAACTTAAACTGCTTATTCCTAAGATGTATCTATATTATTTTCAAAGTGAAAGGGACATAACTCTGCCAAAAAATCATCGAACCATGACCAAATTCCAACTTGACCTGCGCATTCCTTTGACATATCCATATGTCAATTTTGAGTTGAATATGTAACACTGTTGGGTTGATAATAAACAGAAACTGTAAATTTCATATTATTTTCAAAGTGAAAGTTGCATTACTCTGCCAAAAATCATTGAACCATGACCAGATTCGAACTTGGTCTGCGCATTCCAAAATCATATCCATATGTCAAATTTGAGTTGAATGTGTAATATTGTTGGGGAGATAATAAACGGAAACTGAAAATTTCATATTATTTTTAAAGTGAAAGGGGCATAACTCTGCCAAAAATCATCGAACCATGACCAAATTTGAAATTGACCTGCGCATTCCTTTGACGTATCAATATGTCAAATTTGAGTTGAATGTTTAATACTGTTGGGGAGATAATAAACAGAAACTGAAAATTTCATATTATTTTCAAAGTAAAAGGGGCATAACTCTGCCAAAAATCATCGAACCATGACCAAATTTGAACTTGACCTGCGCATTCCTTTGACGTATCCATATGTCAAATTTGAGTTGAATGTGTTGTACCATTGGGGAGTTAATGAATGGAAACTGAAAATTTCATATTATTTTCAAAGTAAAAGGGGCATAACTCTGCCAAAAATCATCGAACCATGACCAAATTTGAACTTGACCTGCGCATTCCTTTGACGTATCCATATGTCAAGTTTGAGTTGAATGTGTTGTACCATTGGGGAGTTAATGAATGGAAACTGAAAATTTCATATTATTTTCAAAGTAAAAGGGGCATAACTCTGCCAAAAATCATCGAACCATGACCAAATTTGAACTTGACCTGCGCATTCCTTTGACGTATCCATATGTCAAGTTTGAGTTGAATGTGTTGTACCATTGGGGAGTTAATGAATGGAAACTTAAAATTTCATATTATTTTCAAAGTAAAAGGGGCATAACTCTGCCAAAAATCATCGAACCATGACCAATTTCGAACTTGACCTGTATTTTCTCATGACATATCCATATGTCAAATTTGAGTTCAATATGTGCAAGGGTTATTAAGATAATGAACGGAAACTGATGATGACGGAAGGACGGAATGACGTAATGACGGAACAGGGTAACACTATATGCCCCTGCCATTATATGGCGGGGGCATAAAAAACAAACTACATACTTGCAATCATGTCCTTTGTGACACACACGAGCGCATTCCGTGCAGCAACAAAGCGACCCCAGCAGTCCACAAGTACGACACTCAAATATATCCTGAAATATAAATAGAAAATATATTTAACATCAATAATGACAATGATTTAGTTTTTACAAATTTAGTTTATACAAATTTATCTTAGTTTGACTGTGTTAAAAGCTTTAAGCTTTTTGAAACAATCTCTAATCCATTCTGAAAACAACCAGTACTAAGCAATGAATGTAAAGATTCTTCCTCAAAGACAATGATTTAATTATCTAAAACCTCGTCATATTAAAGAGAAAGAAAAAATACACACTGTTTTTAAGCGCATGAATAGACGTAACAAAGGATTACATCAAACTCTCCAACCTTCAAAGCAACCTTGGCAACAAAAACCATAAGAACTTTCCCATGACACATTACATGTGGTCTAGTTTGTTTATTTTTGTATTTTAAATCTTTACAATTCTGTAAGTCATATGATATAGCAATTTTCCAGCTTTTTGTGTTTAAAATCTTTACAATTCTGTATGTCATATGATATAGCAAATTTCCAGCTTTTTGTGTTTTAAATCTTTATAATTCTGTATGTCATATGATATAGCAATTTTCCATCTTTTTTGTGTTTTAAATCTTTACAGTTCTGTAGTCATATGATGAAGCAATTTTCCAGCTTTTTTTGTTTTAAATCTTTACAATTCTGTATGTCAAATGATGTTGCAAATTTCCAGCTTTTTTGTGTTTTAAATCATGACAATTCTGTATGTCATATGATGAAGCAATTTTCCAGCTTTTTTTGTTTTAAATCTTTACAATTCTGTATGTCATATGATATAGCAATTTTCCAGCTTTTTTGTGTTTTAAATCTTTACAATTCTGTATGTCATATGATATAGCAATTTTCCAGCTTTTTTGTGTTTTAAATCTTTACAATTCTGTATGTCATATGATGAAGCAATTTTCCAGCTTTTTTTGTTTTAAATCTTTACAATTCTGTATGTCATATGATATAGCAATTTTCCAGCTTTTTTGTGTTTTAAATCTTTACAGTTTGGTATGTCATATGATATAGCAATTTTCCAGCTTTTTTATGTTTTAAATCTTTACAGCTCTGTATGTTATATGATATAGCAATTTTCCAGCTTTTTTGTGTTTTAAATCTTTACAGCTCTGTATGTCATATGATATAGCAATTTTCCAGCTTTTTTGTGTTTTAAATCTTTACAGTTTGGTATGTTATATGATATAGCAATTTTCCAGCTTTTTTTTTTCTGTAAGGAAGCCGATACCTCTCCCTTCATTATTTCACCAATAAGCTGGTACCCAAGTAGAATCAGTTAACTTCCCTAGAGCTAGCTGGATAGCTTCTTCCTATTGCAGAATCAAAGTTCCTGGCTATAGTCCAACACATAGTAGAAGGTTAAGTGGTTCAAAGTAAAAAAAATTCATAACTCAGCAACATAGGTCCTTGGCATGAGATCCAAATTCAATAACTTTAAACTCTTGGCCAAAGAGGAAAGAAAACAATTGATTACTTGCTAAAAATGTTCGCAAATAGAAGAAACGGAGAAATTACATGCCTGATTAATATGTTCCGCCCCTGTCCAGGTAAAACTGCAAGTATCATTACAGCAGAGGACGTGTAGAGGCGAGTTATCGAGACTCGAACCTGTCGGGTACAACATACTCATCATGGTGGCTTTGTCAACGTCCTGGCTGTCCTTGGACGTTCCGACACGCTTGATCGTGTCCAGTAGTGTCATCGCTGCCATGTACGCCCTACCTTTCACTGCCTGCATGAAAGGTGTGCAACCCTCCGCATTTCTGAGAAAAAAAATTGTGAACACCATCGAGTTCATGCTAATCTTATGTTGGTATTTACTTTTAATGTCACAAAGTTAAATTCAAAATTAATAATTCTTCTCTGGAACACAAAAAAAACAGTTACCATGTATAGAAAATATCATATCTGTTCTGTGAATTCCATTTTTAAATATATGCAGAATTATACAAATTCTTTAGACTGTTCATTAGAAGTTTTATAACCTTTATGAAATTTTGCAAATATACATAAATTTTGCAAATCTTCAATGTTAACACCCTAGTCCTGCTAATATAAACCAATTGTGAAAAAAAAAATCAACTATAGAAGTTAAAGCAGCATGCCTCCAGAAAATTTGAAAATGTATTTAACAGTATAATATAGTGAAATTACCAAAAGAATGCAATTTACACATTATCAATGACACTAACAACCCATGTAACTTACCATAAAGAAGTTAAAAAGTGAACAAGAGGGCCATGATGGCCCTGAGGTCGCTCACCTGTATATAGCACCCCCCCCCCCCCCCGGGCCAATTTTAACCCAAGGGCTTTTATTTGTTTATTTGAACAGACTTGGTAGACACCCATAAGAAGATGTTTCATGCTAAACATCTAAGTTCTAGCTCATTGGGTTTTTTAAAAGGAGATTTTTTAAGTTTTTACTATACACATATAGTTAAAAAACAATGACACCCCTTTTGACACACATCTTTCATGCTTAATATCTAAACTCTAGCTATTTGGGTTTTTTCAAAGAAGATTTTTAAGTTTTTACTATACACATCTAAGGAAAATCAATGACCCCCTGGGGCGGGGCCAATTTTGACCCCAGGGCTTTTATTTGAACAAACTTTGTAGACACAGATTAGAAGATGTTTCATGCTTAATATCTGAACTCTAGCTATATGGGTTTTTTCAAAGAAGATTTTTTAAGTTTTTGCAATACACATATAAGGAAAATCAATGACCCCCTGGGGCGGGCCAATTTTGACCCCAGGGCTTTTATTTGAACAAACTTGGTAGACACCTATTAGAACATGTTTCATGCCAAATATCTAAGCTCTAGCTCTTAGGGTTGTTTAAAATAAGATATTTAAAGATTTTTCTTTCGGTTGCCATGGCAACCAGAGTTCTGCATGGGATTAAATTCTTTGAACAATTTTTAAAGGTGACCACCAAAGGAACATTCCTGTGAAGTTTGGATGAAATTGGCTTAGTGGTGTATGAGGAGATGTCATTTAAAGCAAAAGTTTACGGACGGACGGACGACAGACGGACGAAAAGTGATCACAAAAGCTCACCCTGTCACTTTGTGACAGGTGAGCTAAAAAATCCGTCATTAATTGCATACAATGAAAATTTAAAAAATTAAACGAGACTTACCTTGATTGTCGATGTTTGATTTGAATTCTTTGAAGTAAAGAATTGAGTGAGGCTTAAATGGCTTTCACGAAAAGGAATTATAAAAACATGAAAATTATTACTAGAATTTTGAATCTTTATACTTTTCCAAAAATCTTAGTAAATTTTTCTCAGGTTTGATTTTATGGGAAATATTTTTGCTCATCTGGGGGCGTACAGCTTTAAATTGCACAATAATGAAAGCATAAAAATTTTAATTTTACAACCTTAGTTTGAATCATTTATCAATAATATAACTGATATAACCCAAGAAGTTATCACCTTAACTTGCACTTCAGACCTATTACGAGGAAAATAAACGGGGTAACCCAGCTGGGGCCTCAAAAAACAAAAAAAACTTAACTTGCACTTACTTTGCAGACAACAGATCTCGTAGATGAGGTTTTAGTATGTTCGACTCGCACAAACACTTCAGGATCTGTAACGATGCATTGGGCCTTTCTTTCTCGTCCAGTTTCACTGCGGGTATGTTGATGGTACTGAACTCTGAGGGTAGAGGATAAGAGGCTGACTGACCGCTTGACGACTGCCGACTAAGGCTCGGTTTATCTATATCTGTGTTAAAATTACACATAGCAAAATCAGGTGTATTTTTTGTCCCGGTGCCAAAATACTTGCTGCCAACCTGCTTCGTTAGTTTATTCATAGTTATTTAAAGCTAGAGCGGGAAACAAGTTTCTGTAACTTATATTTAACGATTTGAAGTCAGCTGTCATAAACATGAAACTGATTTCATATCTAGAAATATGGTCAGGACAAAAGTTGGGTAGGAAACCAATGATCTCTGGGTACAGAGGTTTAAACATTTTTATAGTGTTAGTTACAAAGATTTTTCACAGTTTATCAATAATGACCTGACAGCAAAAGGCAGTGCATTCTTTATAAATGCTTTTAATATACAAGTAGTTTTTTTTTTATTGGGTTAATGGCAGTAGAACCACTGACATTCCATAAGCTAGCTGGATAGCTTACTCACATGAAGAATCAAACGACACTGGCGCGGCTTGAACCTACAACAGTGAGAGGCAAGGTAGTGTGAAGTTAACGACCTTAACCACTTGGCCACAGACGATTCTAATATACATGTACAAGTAGTAATCTAAAATCAAAAGAATGGGATGAAGCTGGTGAGAATGATGTATCATATTAAATCATACCTTGACGAATGACAGATTCGTAGCTCGGTGGATCTGGCGGCCAGCTCAGTGTCGGTATAGCCATGCCTTCCTCCTGCTCACGCACATCTAGACCACTAACAGCACGGGCAGCAGACGACGCTCTTCTCATCATCTCCCTTAAACTCACACTGTCAAAAATATAATTCAATGATTAATTAATTTAATTTATTCTGATTGTTTTAAAAGCCTAAAACTTTTTTTAAACAAATTTCAAGGTCATTTGATCACAAATCAATTTGTTGTTGTTGTTTTTTTGTTAGGGCTTTACATTGCGCCAACAAAGTAATGGTCAAATAGCGACTTTCCAGCATAACTGGTGGAGGAAGACATTGGGGTGCCCCTTAGTGCATTATTTCAGGCATGAACGAGCACCTCAGAAGAACAACTGCCTTTCAATAAGCTAGCTGAACTGCTTCCTCACATGGAAGAATCCAAGTCCTTGCCAGAATTTAAACAAACAGCCTTGAGGTGCAGGTAGTTTGAAGTCAAAGACCTTAACCACTAGGCCACGGATGTCTCAAGGAACTTTTAGTTTAATAACATTTTATTGCATTTATAAATATACATCAATTAGTTTTACATCAACAAAATTCCACACTATACAAAAGGGTTGGGCCAAGTTTTTACAACATAATCATTAGCCCTTTCCTTAACAGATTATGGAAAAATCATGGAACTAATCAATACTTGTGCCATGTGATGAAATATGGCTATGACCAAAGTGGGGCTAAAAATTACCAATCACAAAATCTGAACAATATATGCACCCTGGGACATAAATATTGGTTGAATTCTCCTGCAAATTGAAAGTGTTGTGCACTGAAGAAAATGTTCAGGCTCAAATGCATGTCTGCATTTATTTCCTAACCTTAAAACCAGAGATTTTAAGTAAAAACTGAATGAAAATAAATTTTTATAAACATTGTTTTTTTTTTCTTACCATTTTCACAATATAATAACATTGAGAATAAATGATATGGCCCTGTACAACATTAAATGTTATTTTTTTCTTGCAGAAATTTGATCGTAAGGTCACTATAATCCAATGTTTTCTCGGGCTAGAACTGTAGTTTCAACATATGAGCCGAGTCACGACGAAACCAACATAGTGCGTTTGCGACCAGCATGGAATCAGACCAGCCTGCGCATCCGCGCAGTCTGATCAGTATCCATGCTGTTTGCTTACCAAAATCTATAACAATGAGAGAAACTGATAGCGAACAACATGGATCCTGATCAGACTGCGCAGATACGCAGGCTGGTCTGGATAAATGCTGGTCGCAAACCCACTATGTTGGTTATGTCATGACACGGCTCATATGAATTGTGTTTGCCAATTGATATTCAGTTACAGTTGTTTGACAGTATGGTTAAGCCAATATTATTGTATGGGTCGGAGGTGTGGGGATTTGAAAATAATTCTATTATTTCTCAGTTTCAATTGAAATTTTATAAATATATACTTAAACTTAAGATGTCAACTCCTTCGGTTATGGTCTTGGGAGAATTAGGTGCATTTCCTATTGAAAATGATATTACTTGCAGAATGTTAAATTTTTGGAGTAAATTAGTTAGTGGCAAAAATGATAAAATATGTGCTTCTTTGTACCGCACTATGTATAATCTTCATGAAAAGGGTATTTTACATTGTCAGTGGATTGAGAAAGTAAAATCTACTTTGAATAATATTGGTTGTTCTGATTTTTGGATAACTCAGAATGTTGCAAATTTTAATAATTTTAAATATGTAATAAAATCACGATTACATTATCAGTTTTTACAAGTATGGAATAGTGATGTTATTGATTCTGCTAAGTGTTTAAATTATAGAATATATAAAACTCAATTTAAATTAGAACATTATTTACTTTGTTTACCAAGAAATTTAGCAATTACTCTCTGTAAATATAGATGTCTCAATTCTAATATTCCTATAGAGAAAGGTCGCTATTTTGGTATTGAAAGAGAAAATAGAACATGCTCACTTTGTAATCAGCAAGAAATAGGTGATGAATTTCACTATATTTTTAAATGTACTTATTTTAATCATGAAAGACACAGGTATATAAGTATTTTTAAGTAAAATTATTATTCAAGGTTTCCTAGTATTTTAAATTTTCAGGCTCTAATGTGTAGCGACAACAGAAATACTTTATTTAATCTAGCCATTTTTGTCAAAGCTATAATGCTGAAATTTCAATAAAGTCATCTTCCTTATTTACTTATTTACTTCATGCCATGTTTGTATTATTATTTTTTGTTTTGTTGATTGTTCACTCTTATGCCCTTAAGGGCCATGACTTTTGTTTATAAATAAATAAATTCAAATTTTAGATATCTGCCTTTCAAAATCCTTCTTTAAACTGAATAAAGACCTACCCTCGGCCGGAAGTATCCGCGCTAGGTCCGGTACTAGGCCCGCCTCTAGACGACTGTATAGCTGTGAGGGCATCTACCGCACTTGTGACCGCGTTCATCACCTCTAGTGTGGACGTGTAACCACTAGACGTGCTTGTAACTGTAGTTGTACTGCTCGGCCCCACTGGAGCATCTGCTGTGGGGAAAAAAAGGTATAATCTTGTACATATTCAATTAATTACTTTATACCATAATTTTCTTTACCCGTTTTCATACAGGTCCATGATCTGCAGTATAATCGTGTACATATTCAATTCATTGCTTTTTCCAAAAAATTTTCTTTACCAGTTTTGATACAGGTCCATGATCTGCTATGAGGGGAAAAGGTATAATCTTGTACATATTCAATTCGTTACTTTTTCTCGTAATTTATTTTACCCGTTTGTAAACATGTCCATGTCTGCCAACTTAAGAATTTTTTATGTCTCGACAAAAAATAAATTAAAGAAAACAAAATTTGCCACAACAGACAATTTTCACAATTATTGGCACTTGATTTGGTATTTAGGCAATTTAGAAGCTTATCTGGAGCTAGCCTGTTATCATACTATAAATAATTTCATTAAACACCTACAAATTCAATACAGAATCCACATTTAATTAATAACCTCTATGTGTGGTATATTTCATATTAAATGGAGGTTATTTTTGTGTTGTTTTTTTGGGGGGTAAGAGGGGGAAAGTAATATTTGACATGCATACTTCTATCACTGTCCTTGTTAGATGTAGGCACTGACATAGCAACACACGTATGCAGTATATTTCTGTTACCATCACAATGTTCCTGTAATAGGTCTTGCACAACCTTCTGGTTACCTAGCAATAGAAATAAACAAAATATAAATCACTATAATACATGAATGATTTCTCAATTTTATAAATTTTGAATTATTTGTTGTGCTTCTTAAAATGATCATAAATTTTTGTCATGAATGGATATATCTTAATACCATATTCTTGCAGAATAATTCTACATGAAGCATTACTTAAATAAATCAAATCATCATATATTTTTGTTTTTTTATATAAACAATTGAGCCGCGTCATGACAAAACCAACATACTGGGTTTGCGACCAGCTTGGATCCAGACCAGCCTGCACTTGTGCAAAGTTTCAAAGCCATAAGTCAATGGACTTTGAAAATATTTGAGGTAAAAAACTTTAACATAAATGGTTAAGCCGACACCGACGCTCGGGTGACTACAATAGCTCTACTTATTCCTATCGCATAGTCAAGCTAAAAATGCCCCTTGTTATATAACTGATTTTACCGCCCCTGTTTAAAGTATGGTTTGTTTACTTTTTTAAGTCACAAGTAAGATTGCAAAGACTTACTGGCATCAAGTTCTAGGGTAGCTAAAACTGTTTTCACCTTCTCTACATCACATCGTAGTATATGTGGTATCAACGTCTGATGCTGAAATGAACAAATAAGAATTCAAAGTCCCTGATACAAAACCAAGGCAACAGCAGTAAAGGGGGAAAATCTTAATCAGGCAAGCTTTAGGTTTGGGTCAATTGAACAGTTACAGAGACTTTGTATTTTGTATGGAAAACAAATGTTCCGTTATTCATTTATAGGCAATCAATTCACTTAACATTCTTAACGACTTGACCACTGATGCCACAATGAAAACAAATTCTTTAGTTTTGAGATGGGGGTGGGGTGTGACAAGTCCTAACAACACTGTTAAAGTCATATGGTGACTTTCCAGCTTTACTGGTGAAGGCTGACCTCAGGTTTCCCTCCATGCATTATTTCAGGCATCCAAGTAGAACCCATCGTGTTCCGTAAACTAGCTGGATAGGTAGCAACTATGACAGGTTCAGGCATGCGAAGCGAACCACAAATGCTATGTAAGCTAGCTGGATAGATAGTTACTATGACTGTCAGAAAACAAAGACATTATGACTGGACATTTCCTTTTGGCATGGGTAAAAGTTGGAAATTTAAAAATCCTGAAATCCTGAATTAAACAGTTTTTCTCTAGTTTTACGCTATCAGGAGACTGAAAATCCTGAACTTCAGGAAAAATCCTGAAAACTTTTACCCATGTTTTGGTACGGATTTATCATATCTAGTGGCCAGCTCTTTAGTTTGAAAATAATGCTGGACTCGAATTTAAAAGTTGCATACCTCTATGGCAAGAACCAGTACCATGGCTTTGTTCTTCTGAGCTGACGTAACCACGTCTCTAAGGTAGTGGGTTCGGATCCCTAGACACCTGACAGGTGGCAAGTCCAGCCACATAGGATCCTTGATTCCTTCGTTACAATCTTTAGCAAATGGATACAGGGCACCATTACCATCTCTAAGCTGCACAAATGATTCCTGTAATGTATGTTACATAACACGTTTTTAAAATTATAACATTTAAATATTTAATATAGACTTGCTCTGGAATTAAACATATTTTGGGATTCTCAGCAAATCCAAGGATACAAACAAACTTTTACAGTGATAGCTTCGAAAAATAAGCAGTACACCTTGATAAATTTGTTGTAAACAGAAGTGCAATGTGAAACTATAATGGTTTGTTTGTTTGTTACATTTTACGCCTTTTCCCAACAGTATTTCAGTCATATAGGCGGGTAGTTTCCTAACCATCGTTCCTGGAGAGTTACACCAGTACTAGACTACCTTCCTCCGCGCTAAACTACCAAAGCATCTCCCGGGGATCGAACCCATGCCAGAGAGGTAACTGGATTAGAAGTCATCGACTCTAACCCCTCAACCACTATAATGGTAAAAGTTTGTTTGTACCTTTGTACCGGGGGGGGGGGGGGGATTAGCTTTGAAAAACTAATATTTGTTGAGTTCCAGATTACAACTATAAATGAACTATTGACACAAAACAGAAAAGTTGTCGAAATTTTTTCTCGATCTTGTGCTACACAGACAATCTCCACTGAAGCTAGCGTCTGATTGGTTGACACTGAAAAATCATCTAGAATATTATCCAATGATAAAAAGATTTCAATATCTAGATTGGCCCAAGATCGCAGCATCACCTTCAGATTTTGACCATTTACTTTACATGCCTGTTTATCAGTTGTTGCATTTTATAAAAAGCCCTGACTTAAAATTATTACAGATTTTCAGGTATGGAACACTGACCTCTCCAGTATTATGAAGGGTAATATCACTTCTATGACTTCCCATGAACGCCTGAGCCTCTGTCGGGAACGGGGAATCACGTTCTATTTTCCCGGAGCTCAGATTGTACACTATGTAGTTGAGACGCACTCCTGATCTTGCAATCACATGGATCCCTGTCAGAGATACAAACATACAGAAATTGAAGCGGCTTTCAGCTTTTCTAAAGGTCATAGATGTTATTCTTTAGATAAATCTTATCATATAATATATAATTCTCAAATCAAAAGAATCAAGGTTGAAAATGAAATTTGCAGTTGATAAATTACATGACCAACAAGAGGGCCATGATGGCCCTGAGGTCGCGCTCACCTGTATATATCGCTCCCCCCCCCCCCCCCCCCCCCCCCCCCGGGCCAATTTTTACCCAAGGGCTTTTATTTGAACAGACTTGGTAGACACCCATAAGAAGATGTTTCATGCTAAACATCTAAGTTCTAGCTCATTGGGTTTTTTAAAAGAATATTTTTTAAGTTTTTACTATACACATATAGTTAAAAACAATGACACCCCTGGGGCAGGGCCAGTTTTGACCCCCGGGCTTTTATTTGAACAAACTTTGTAGATATTTACTTAAAGATGTTTCATGTATAATATCTAAACTCAAGCTATTTTGGGTTTTTTCAAAGAAGATTTTTAAGTTTTTGCTATACACATATAAGGAAAATAAATGACCCCCGTGGCGGGGCCAGTTTTGACCCCAGGGCTTTATATTTGAACATTCTTGGTAGACACCCATTAGAACATGTTTCATGCTAAATATCTTAGCTCTAGCTCTTTGAGTTCTTTAAAAGAAGATTTTTTAAGTTTTTACTATATGCATATAGGGAAAATCAATGACCCCCTGGGGCTGGGCCAATTTTGACCCCAGGGCTTTTATTTGAACAAACTTGGTAGACACTCATTAGAAGATGTTTCATGCTAAATATCTTAGCTCTAGCTCTTTGGGTTCTTTAAAAGAAGATTTTTTAAGTTTTTACTATATGCATATAGGGAAAATCTATGACCCCCTGGGGCAGGGCCAATTTTGACCCCAGGGCTTTTATTTGAACAAACTTGGTAGACATTCACTAGAAGATGTTTCATGCCAAATATCTAAGCTCTAGCTTTTACGGTTCTTTAAAAGAAGATTTTTAAGTTTTTACTATATGCATATAGGGAAAATCAATGACCCCTCGGGGCTGGGCCAATTTTGACCCCAGGGCTTATATTTGAACAAACTTGGTAGACACTCACTAGAAGATATTTCATGTCAAATATCTTAGCTCTAGCTCTTTGGGTTCTTTAAAAGAAGATTTTTTAAGTTTTTACTATATGCATATAGGGAAAATCTATGACCCCCTGGGGCAGGGCCAATTTTGACCTCAGGGCTTTTATTTGAACAAACTTGGTAGACACTCATTAGAAGATGTTTCATGCCAAATATCTTAGCTCTAGCTCTTTGGGTTCTTTAAAAGAAGATTTTTTAAGTTTTTACTATATGCATATAGGGAAAATCAATGACCCCCTGGGGCGGGGCCAATTTTGACCCCAGGGCTTTTATTTGAACAAACTTGGTAGACATTCACTAGAAGATGTTTCATGCCAAATATCTAAGCTCTAGCTTTTACAGTTCTTTTAAAGAAGATTTTTTAAGTTTTTACTATATGTATATAGGGAAAATCAATGACCCCACGGGCCGGGGCCAATTTTGACCCCAGGGCTTTTATTTGAACAAACTTGGTAGACACTCACTAGAAGATGTTTCATGCCAAATATCTTAGCTCTACCTCTTTGGGTTCTTTAAAAGAAGATTTTTTAAGTTTTTACTATATGCATATAGGGAAAATCAATGACCCCCTGGGGCAGGGCCAATTTTGACCCTAGGGCTTTTATTTGAACAAACTTGGTAGACACTCATTAGAAGATGTTTCATGCCAAATATCTAAGCTATAGCTCTTACGGTTCTTTAAAAGAAGATATTTAAAGATTTTTCTTTCGGTTGCCATGGCAACCAGAGTTCTGCATGAAATGGAATTCTTTGAACAATCTTGATAGAGCTTCATACAAAGAGTATTCCTGCCAAGTTTCATTAACATTGGCCTTGCGGTATCATAGAAGATGTCCTTAGAATATTTAAAATGTGGACGGACGACAGACGACGGACGCCATTTGGTTGGCCATCCTAAAAGCTCACCTGCACTTTGTGCAAGGTGAGCTAATAAGGAAACGCCTCAATAACTCTATTCTACCGTCAGCTCTCTATATTTAAATTAGACTAGAGGATGATTTGTTTCCCAATCTTCTATTCTTAGAGACGAACATCACTGCATGTTATAAATAGCTCTCAGGACTGGTTTACTAACCTTCACAGTCCACAGCTACTGCTAGAATCTGACCATTCTCTACAATAGTTACTTTCTTAGGAACTTTCTGGAAGCAGTCTGGCAACCTTGGTGCACTCATACTCTTCACCACCTATTAATAGAAAATCAATCTATATAAAGCATCCCATCCACTATTTAAACAAGTTGAATAATACTATGTCTAAGTACTGTTATTATATAATACACAAATTATATGTTCTTACTGCTTAATAAGATATTCACAATTTTAAGTAAAAAAATTCACAATTTGTTAAGAAATGACGCTTTTTTTCACAATTTTTATGGTACCGGACCCATTCACAATTCAGGGAAAAAAATCACTGCAGCGGCTTCTGCGGTACTCAATTTTCAACACTTAAAAAGAGCTGGTATCAATGATCCAGAAGGACCAGAAAAATATACTCACAGAGAGTTCATCTTTCCTCAGCAGACGACAATCTTGAGCAGACTGGAGGATCCCCTTTTTGATGCTGGCCCCTAGACCGGGGCCCTCCCTTTTTGATGTGGGGCTTCCGCACATAGCCCCATAAACCTTTATAGAAATTCATAAATTTTATTTCAACCACTTTCATAAAATACCGTATAGTTTATTTTTTCATTATGTGTTATGTTGCACCAACACAGTAGAGGTCATATAACGATTTTCCAGCTTTCCGGGTAGAAAAAGCCCTTTTGACCCTACTGCTTTATTTGGGCCCAACCCAACATCGTGATAGAACACAAATTTCCCCGTTAGCTAGTTGGAATTTCTTCACAACAAACCGTCCCTGATTGATTTAACCAAAAGGCAGGAATATTTAAATCATAATTTTTAAAATCCTCTTTTCCTTATAAACTTTTTAATCACATTAAAAAAAATTTTTTTAATATTTAAATACTTCAAAATAATAATTTTAATAAAGCTTGAATTGATTTTAAAAAGACTTAAAAATGACAAAGAAATATCGCTTAACCTAGAGTAAACAGAAATATTGACGAATTTCATGAATTTATGAGTCGCTTAAATTTTCTCTAGTGTAAATATCAACCAACCTGTCATTAAATTCTACCCTTGCATGATTTGCTTATATTTTCTCATGTGAAATGTTGGGTATTTTAAATTTCTAAGTTTTTGACAAGGGGTTATAGCTGTAAAGTCGGTGAATGTGTGTAAGCATGAAACTTAGACTATAAAATGCAATTACTTTTACACACAGAAATATCCACCTATACAGTAAGTAAAATGAATACAAAAAATATTTTCCGATATTTAATCACACTGGAGAGCCTACCTTTAACACTTTACCAACTGGAACCGTTTTTATGTCCTCTACAAAGATCACATCCTTTAATGGCCAACTTTCTTCATCTTTCTGTTTTTCAATCTCCTTGCTGGGGGTTGGTGCCTTTTTACGCTCTATAAACATAAGACAGTTAACTTTTTTTTTTTCTTTTTTTTTTTTGGCAACAAGACAAACCTTGGGGAAACCTTCTTGAATATAGTACGAAAGTTTCAGCATGTTTATACTTCATAGTAATAAATTAAAAGAATTTCAGGGTTAAAACTGAATGCTAAAGTTAAAAGGACCAAGTATTCATTTTAATACTTAAGCTTTTATTGTGCACTATTTCAGTAATGTCAAACTTTCAACAATGCAAATGTAGATGTAGAAAGTTACAAGCCAGAAAACATAACAAACTTTGAGCCCAAATTTAACAATCAGTGAAAAAACCTATATTGCATAATATTTTGCATGCCAAAAGGGCTAAACAGAAAAATCATACTTCAAAGACATAAGTCATGACCTCGGAAAATCAAACTTTGTGCCATAATTGGCTAGTGGTTGAAAACTTAAAACCTTAATTCTTAATTCCCTAACTTTTTCGACACGCGGATATATCCACTTATACAGTACTTTCAATAAGACAGTTACACTTACTTCTAGATGATACCAGTACTGGACCACTGTGATCACTGCATGTAGAAGATGCCGGTGATGGCGGGGGCGGCATGTCCGGCTTCGAGTCACTAGACGAGTCACGCTCGGGTCGGCTCTCCGGTCTAAATTAAGAAAAACAAGCAAATTCGTTGAATTTATATCCCCCGCTGAGTACTGGTTATTACTAACACAACAACTGAAGACATAAGGCTTTATTTATATATTTATCATGGCATAAACAGTAACATTCTTTGAACTTGATAAATATTCAGGGCAATAACAGAGCCATAACTCTGTGTTAAATAGTAATATCTGGAAATGCCAATGAGGTGTATGCATACTGCATAACTAATCAAGGGTCATAAATCTGAGTTATAGTGTCTGACCGGAACAAGGCGACTATATGCACATCTCCTCTTTGCATCCCATAAAGTTTCTTTGAATTCCAGCCAGTAGTTACAGAGAAGTAGCACCTCTGGTTGTATACTGCATAACTTATCAAGGGCCATAACTCTGAGATAAAGTGTCTGACTGGAACAAACCGACGATATGCGCATCTCCTCTTGGTATTGAAGGTTCCCATAAAGTTTTGTTGAATTCCAGCCAGTAGTTGCAGAGAAGTAGCGCGGAAACGATTTTTACTCTATATGCATACTGTATAACTAATCAAGGACCATAACTCTGAGTTTAAGTGTCTGACCGGAACAAGGAGACGATATGCGCATCTCCTCTTGATTTTGAAGGTTCCCATAAAGTTTTGTTGAATTCCAGCCAGTAGTTGCAGAGAAGTAGCACGGAAACGATTTTCACTCTATATGCATACTGCATAACTAATCAAGGGCCATAACTCTGAGTTAAAGTGTCGGACCGGAACAAGCCAACGATATGCGCAGCAATTTAATCTAGTAAAATGAATCGATTTGCCTCAATATACAGCAGAAGGTGCGTAAAATATCGACCAATGAAATCACGTTTAACAAACTTTATATTCTTCAATGGCAAAGGTAAAAACCTATCAGTAACAGGTTGCCACAATTTTGTCTGAAATATAAAACATCTTAATGAACAAGCATTTTGATTGTTTTAAATCGCCTCATGAAATCTTGAGACAACCAAATGAAAAAGCAGTCTTTGACACACCTCTTATCGACTGGATTTTGACCAAAAATCCCACGGCTGATAAATGTTAATGGTTTCTGTCGTGGTATTCGACGACGCCTGGTGTAAAGTCTAATCATACGGATAAATAATTCCTCCAGGTATGCTAAGGCAAAGCACTTTTTTTATGCATTTTACAAAAATAGATAATAAAAGGAAAATCATACAAAACTTACATATGAACAGGTTTGATCTTAAATCTACACGTATCATTCAGCGACCATGCCGATTCAAGCAGCTGACCTACTTTTGGAGTGCCATCTACTGTAGTAAATGCTACAGCCCCTGCGTGGAACATTGGAGAGTTCCTCAAACATACCTACAAATATAACATAACATAATTCTTTTAATGTTTTCAGGTAAAATAAACAAGTTGTACAGATCAGGCTGTGTATATTCTCCAATAACTGCTTCTTAAAAGAAATTTAACAAAGAGTGCCTTTATTTGTTAATGCAAGCAAAAATTTTTTTTTTTTTTTTTCACTGTAAACATAGAAAAAGCTGTCAATAGGGCAGCATGCTTGACTATTCTCAGTGCTTGATAGTAAAACAAGAGCCTTCATACTGTAGAATTTTCTTATGTTCAAAAAGCGCCATAATTCTGTCTAAAACCCATATAAGAGTTAGGGGCCTTGGGCATTGACCTCTTATTTTACTCTTAAATAAGTGAGTAAATATTCAATCTATTCCCTTTCCTAGTTTAAGAGATACCAACTTGCAAACTTAACCGAAGTGTGATGCCTATGCCTATAAATAGTCAAGCTAATAAACTGTTTGAAACAACACAATATATACTGAAGCACTTAAAATGAAAAGTTATGCAACGATTTTTGAATGCCCTTCTCATTTTCATGGCAATCAACATTCAATTTTCTTTCCATTCAGGCAATATATTCTCACCCAGAGGGAAACCATTATTTTGGTTATAACAGACAGCCTAACATAGCATAAAACACTTAAAAGCTATAATCTACTTACCAATGACCCTGTACTGATGTCACTCTGCGATGAAGAATTCTTATTCTTCTTTTTCTTAGATCTGTTTCTTTCTAAAAGTTTCTTTCTCTGAGCAAATGGCATTGCCCCCCTGCAATGATAATGTTATATTCCAAATTCTATTACGTACAATATACAACTAAATGTGAAAGTTCTGGATATTAGGATTTCATTCTTATCAATTACATAATCTAATAGTATCCAGTTTCAGGCAGATCAAGTTTCTTTTCCAGACCAAGTCACTATTTTTTACTTATGCTCAAATTTGTTATTTGAAAATACTTTTTCTGGATTGGGTTTTACGTAACAACAACACAGTATAGGTCATATGGAGACTTTCTAGAAGTTAAAAACAAAACAAAATGAAAACAATAATATCACATGACGACCAAGGGATGACACCTGTTAAAAATATCCCTTTGGTTAAACTAATGTGACTTTTTTTATTGCATATTAGCTTTTGTAATAAAAATCACAACATTGGTAAAGATATCCTTTTTTCTATAGCTACAATTTAAAACTTTTTAGCAAATTGCTATTAAATAGTACAGTGGGCCCTAATGACAGTAATGTTCACCTACCACCAGTATAGAGCACCACTCTCCAGACGTGCACATGTATACAGCGAACATGTATGAAGGCTGGCAATCTTGTCTGTCAGGAACTCCTGGAATGTCTGTGCACTGTGCTCCAGTTTGGAAGCCACCATGTTCAATGTATCGTCCACCCAGGTCGCCACCTTGTCCGACTCTGTACATACGGACGCACGAACACCGCAGGCAGATATACCCTGTATCTTCTCGTGTTGTAGACAGAGGGCAATTGTCTTAGGATGGTGTATATTGGGGTTCTGAAATAACGTTAAATGTTTAAATTGAATCTACATAATGAATCCATCTGATCCCATTTGGGAACTGACCATTATCAAATTTAGGGATAGAAAGATGAAAATTTGAAGTTATTCAGTTATTGTTTTTGCTTGATTTGGGTTTTACGTCACACCAACACAGTATAGGTCATTTGGCGACGTTCCAGCTTTACTGGTGGAGGAAGACCTCAGGTGCCCATCCGTGCATTTTTTGGCACAAACGGGCACCTAATAAGAACCAGCGACGTTCCGTAAGCTAGCTGGATAGCTTCCTCACATGAAAGAATCCAAAGTCTGTGTCAGGATTCGAACCCACAGCAGTGAGGGGCAAGTGGTTTGAAATCAACGACCTTAACCACTCGGCCATGGACGCCCCATTTATTCAGTTATTAACATGTATAAATTCTCAATAGCATGAAATAGCTAAAATCGAATTTCTGGAACAGTAACAGGAGGGTGATACAGTGTAGTCATGGATTTTTGTAAAAGTTGTACAATAAATTTTAAGACTAATGGAATTGATTTTTTTCAAAATGTTAATGAATAAATACTGCCTTTCGTGTACGCATTAGCCCAAATGTGCAAGCAGTCTATATATAGGAAGTGCTCACAAGCACTAAGTAAGTTAAAGATGTGGATCATGGGTTCGAGCCCTAATCGGGTCACAACCATGTTTCTTCATATGACACCAGTACTCCAGGAAGCGGACTTGAAAATGATTATTATAAGTTGAAAGAACTTGTTTCACAATCAAGCTTAAATAAATATGTTTAAACCAAAAATGTGCAACTGTTTTGGTTGCTTCAGAGAAACAACAGTGCCATATTTGCCATAACATATTAGAATACTAGGACAAAACTTAAATGTTTACAGAATCCATTTTAAAACTGCATTCAAATATATATAGTATGTATCTACTCTACTATATTACCTCTGGATGTCTGTAGGGTTCAAAGTCATGCCATTTCCAGCTGTATAACTGGCCATTGGTTCCCACAGCAACCAGTTCCGAATGCATGGCAGCTATGTGAGAAAACCTAGGGCAATTCCCATCCTGAAACAATTCGATGAATATATTTCGATGACAATTTTACGACAATATTCAATTATTTCAATTATTTGCTAGATTATTCCATTCCCTTATCATTCACATTCAAGTACATGCATCAACTTCCAAATTTTACAACATCAATGTATAACTCGATATATTTATTGATTTCAATCTTTCTGTTTTTCTCTCATTCCCTACCATACATCTAATCTTACAAAGGTCAACCTCCTTTTCCTATGGACTTCTTTCATTTCTCCATAATAAGGCCCATATTTCAATGATCTTATCATTTCAGCTTTCTTTACATTTGGATTTGTGTGTGCCCTAAATTCGACCCTATCCTAGAGTCAACACAGTTACAGTGTAGGTCACAAAGTCTCATCAAATGTTCGTTAAGAAAGAAACAGTTGAATATTTTTTATCATCAAAATAATATTAATGTATCTGCCAAATTTCTTCAAAATAGAATGCTTTGATCATTAAAAAATAAAGTGAATCAAACAAGAACTCTGAAAATGTTTAGTGTAACAAATCATTGCCATCAGTTGATATATTTCCTGAACGAAATAATACAACTGAATGTTTTAATAGTTTTACTCTGGAATTTAAAAATATTTTTGGATTTCCCCGCTAATTCGGGGGCACAAACAAACTTACAGTTACAGCTTCGAAAATAAGTGTAAAAGGTTGACTAATCTATTGTGAATGGTATTGCACCATGAAGTTAAAACAGTAAAAGTTTGTTTGTACCGCGAGATTAGCTTTAAAAAACACAACATTTGCAGAGTTCCAATTACATCTATTGCATGCAAATGATGAATACCTTTTCAACCCAATACTGAAGCTCCTCTCCAAGATGTACAGGGCTCGCGTTCGGATTAGCCAACTTCTTTGTGATATCGGCTGTAAACCCCTCAACCTTGTCACGCTCTAGTGACTTCAAAGCTTCATCTCGCAAAGTTGTGTCAAGACGCCGCCTGTCTCTAATTCTAAATATAGATTCTCGTTCTCGATCCCGATCAGCATCTCTGTCTGTCCGTTCACCTAGAAATTAAACACAAGATAATTGCAGATTTCTCTTTTAATTAAGTATTAAATCACAAATACTCCGGTTATATGGCTACTTTTCATGGTTACATGGCTTCTTTTCAGAATTATTTATGGTTATAAAAGCCGAGAAGCCTCTTCATACATTATTTCCAGTGCAAGTGAACAGAACCGTTGACATTCGGTAAACCAGCTTAATAGCATTTTCACATGAATGAATCCAGTGTATCCACCGAGATTTAAACTAGCAAAATGATCCGAGTGGCAATTCACTCACAATTAATTACTTTTACAACTGTGCCAAAAAGGGCCCTTGAATGTACCTTTTTTCATGCATTAACATGTGCAGAGACCCGCACGGCGAAGGACTTAGTAAGTCCAAAACTTGCTTACCTAATCTAGATCTAGCTCCAGATCCTCTACTCCGTATCGAAGAGTAACCAAACATGTCCTCACTAAACATGGCGTCGCCGTCAATGATAACACTTGGGTGGTCAGGGTGCATGCCGCTGTCGAGGAGAGAGATCAGGTCGTCGGGAACGTACGAGTCCTGACTATCGTCGTCATCACCTTCCCCTTCGTCATCTCGACTCAGCAAATTATTAACGGCAAGGTTGACGTCTAAGTTCTGATAAAAATATAAAAGTAACAATGTAGAAAATTTATACATATAAACAAGGGAAAAATAAAATGATTCAAGGCATGTGCTGGCAGAAGCCAATGAGCAAACTGGCATCAAATAATTAAATTGACTCAAGATAATCACAATTGGCTCAAACTTACTAAAAGTATGACTTTCAGAATCTCCAGTCTAAATAAGTTTGAACATCAAATCAACTTTGTTGCAATTTTTTACTTACTGCATACACATAACATTACCTATCACACAACAATTGTCAATAGATTAAATCCTCCCCTTCCAGCATAACAGATTACATTAATATGAAATCAATACAAAAATAACAAAGTTTAATGTCATCTATTACTTACTGTTCTTTGTAGTTCACGGATGATAAGATTTCTAGACTTTCCTTGTAGCACAACCTGACACTGTAAGTATATAATACACATATGCATATTATACTGCAATATACTTTGTATAACATACATGCAATGAAGAGCAAAGCATGCCAATTTTTCTACCATATTTGCATTAGATAAATATTTATTTTGTTCAAAATAACCAGGGCAATATGATTTTCAGCCATTATATCAAGACCTCATTTTGTAACCCCATATATAATGTTTCAATTGAACACTTTCCCACAAACCAAATAAAGACTTTACATCAAAAATATCCATGAGACTTTAGAAACAGGGCTGCCAACAGCAAATTGCAAAATCACCGAAAAATACGCCGGGGGTCAAGGAGGCTGCGCAACCCCCCTTAGCGGGTCCAGGGCAGAGCCCTGGTGGGGGACCAGGGGACGAGCCCCCCGAAGCTCCTGGATTCTGATGATTTGGTATGCCCTAAAATCAATTTCCTGGACTCTAAATTTGACAAATATCCGACATTTTGACGCATTTTGACAACAGACAAGAGCGACAATGTAAACTGTAATTTGATTGGTTATTCTAAAATAGAATGCCGGAAAAGACTCGATATGACCAATGAGAAAAGCGCTTACAGACGTACCATAGGCGGCTAGCATAACGATAAAAGCCTAAGCGTGCCGGTTTTTGGGTACTGTATAAAATATGACGAATGAATTTATTGTCTTTGTCGAATTTACATCGATCTCAAAAATGACCCAGGAGCTCACGAAATCCGCTGATTTCCGCAGATCCGCGGAAAATCGGCAGCCCTGTAGAAATTACTTATTACAAATATTTCTAATTTCAATCATATATATTATGTTGAAAGACTTAAATATCAGGTATTAAGCATGCATGCTGTCACAGGTAAAGAGACAGCTTTTAATGTAAACAAGCATAAATCTATTAGTGCTATTCTAATTTTTCACAATTCTCTGATTTACAAATAGAAGGCACATTCTAAATGACATTTAAGCTTAATATCTTAACAATTACCTGGCTTGATATCTTTAAATGGACATGTCTGTCATAAAAACTGGACAAAACCATTCATCATTTAAAGGGAAAGTTTATAACATACCTACTGATCACAAAACAAACAATACAGACCATGATCAAACAGCATGGAGCTCCCGACTGATCTTGGTCTGAACTGGTTACATGGATATATTCAATTACTGCCCACAGCAAGTTAAGGGTAAATCAGAACTCACAGATGTTAATTATAGAGAACATACCAGATTCATAAGTTTCTCAAAGCTTAGGGCTAATCAGACAGAACTCTCAGATAAAAAAAATAGCATGTCAATACATAGAGAACATACCTGATTGATAAGTTCCTCAGGTACTACAGACGCTGGTACAAGGGGACGAGCTCCTACAATGACTCCTGACCTCCGACCCCTGTTAACATGTACAGTTCTCTGCATGGTCCTGTACCCCTGTGTGGTATTATTATTCCTGGTAGAGGCAGTGGCTGTTGTCCCTGATACAACAGTACTCCATCGGCTGTACGGGGAGATATAAGAAAAATCAGATTCTCAATGTTTAAAAATATCCCAACAAAGATCATTAATGTGACCAAAACCAGTGAATCTAATAAAAGTAAAAATTCCAGCTGGTGTTGATGTGTATTACTCTTATTCCATACTTGTTTTTAGTTAAACATTTTTGTTTTAAATTCTTAATACATTTTAAATTCTTTTTCAGTAACAGAGGTACTAAGTGGATTAAGACTTTTGAACTTTTCTGCTCTTGAAGGGAATGAAATCAAAGTTTAATAACATTTTAAGTAAGAGTTGAAAAATCACCCTCAACTGTGTAATATACTGTTTTCTTTCACCTCATGGAAAGATGGCAAGGCCGATGGAGAGGTGAAAATTGTGTAGATATGAAAATGCAGAAATGGAGAAAGATGTCATTTTATGTTAAAATTGACATCTCTGTCCGATAATGATAAAATAGGTTTTTATCATGGGGATTCTTTTTTCTTAAAAAAAAAAATAGGGGAAAACCGTTTTTTTCACAGAGAGGCAGGCCAAAACTTTAAATTGACCCTGGACAATCTTTAAAATGTAATAAACGTAAAAGTCGTACTGACATGATGTTCTGTAGAATACTACAAATCATAATAAATAACTCACGCTGTAGGTTGTTCTGCAGTTCCCTCCATGACGTCAGATACAAGGACCAGTGGACTGTCCACCACATGGGTTGTGGATCTGGAACCCCCGGCCCGTTCTGTCTTGACGGCTTTGGTTGGCCTGCTTATAAAGTCAATATGCAATGTAAAACTGTCTTCAAATATGTAGCATTAAGTCTTCAAATTTATCCATAAAACATTTGTAAAAGAACGTAAAAAGCTTTAGAAAACAAATGCGTAAAAGTTACGTGTGATCTGAGATATTTATCTATAAAAATATTTACTTTTATTTACAATGAATCAGTCAGATCCAAATTTCTTGTTTTGTTCATTGAGTCTGACTCAATATTTACCAGTGATACGTTTCATTATCTAAATTATACCGAATGCAATATTTTGACAGAAGTGCACTGTGCACATGTATTTTTGTTGTTGTTTTTGTTCATATTTTTCTCAAAATACAAATTGTAAAGTTTGTGAATTTTTTGCATAATTGTGAAACAGTCCTTCAAACCCATTCTGAAAATTGTGACGGACCATTTGTGATTGAAAATGGGTCCGTTACTTGGTACCACTTATATTTATAAGGAAAAAATTCACTGCCTTCTGTCCCCATCAAAAAATATCTATGTCAATTCTAATTTTTAATGCTCTACAATTTAACAATATACTTACGGCTTTATATTTTCTTTTTGATTCAAATCCAGTCTTTCATTAAGAATAGAAAAAGGCACTCTGCAAACTCTCCCATCCTAAAGGAAGAAGTTAACATTATATTGTCAAAGGTTGGAACGGATCATTCACTTAAGAGTTTAGGGGTGTGGATCGTCAGATAAGTGACGATCCGATCCGAACCACGATTCAGCACTTACGATTCACAAATCGAACCACAGATCTATTGTTATCAAGACACCCATAAAAACATGTACATAAGTTATAAAAACGTGTTTAAAAAAAAAACAACAACAATAGTAAACATTAAGCATATAAAATATAAACTATGTTTATGTTTTTATTCTTTGGATAAGTATTTTTGTTTTGTTTTTGAAACCAATTACTTCCTAGCTCAGCATCATGGTACATGGTCTTTAACCGGCAAATTCATACTTCATATAATCTATACTCAAATCGTATTTTTCTCGATTTTAAGAGTGTGAGAAACAGTGAATGTATATAAAAAAAAAATTAGATCGCGATCCACGATCTCTGGGATTACGAATATTCAAAATCGATTTTTTACTTTGATTCGTGATTATCCGAGTACTCGGATACTCGCCCCAGCCCTATAAGAGTTACAGTGCCTCAATAGTGTCTAAAGCTGCTGATTTTTAATCATTTGCTTCTAACAGTTCAAGTCACCAAATTCATTATGATGTATGCCCATGCCAGTGTGACCTAGACACCATTCTAGAAATTTATTCATATATAATTTTAAATACATGGTGATGGTCATTGGCAGTTTATTAACAGTCACGGTCATTGGTAGTTAAATCACAGTCATGTTAGCCACATGCAACTGAGTTCACTTTACAAAACAACAGGAAATACATGGTTATCAAGTTCCTTTTTAAGCTACCTTCCTAACATGATCAAAACCAGGCACTGCTTTATTGGCAAACAAAACACTTCACACCCTGGATAGTGAATCAGCAACGTGTAACCAAAATGTGTTTTTGCTTTTGCAGGAAAAATTTTACAACTCTCACTTTTTTCAATAACTTTCATATTTTCGACATTCAAATTAGAGTTCTTGACCTTAAAAAGAAAACTTGTTTTTGAAAAATTCAGCTTTTCAAGAGCTCTGTTTTAATGAGTCTTTTTGACATGTGAAAGAAAAAATTTTGTGTCATTCTTAGACTGTTGGCATGGTTTTAGAAAAACAAAACACACACAATTTACCTCAAGTAAAAAGGCTATATAATGTGGACCTATCACACACTGAGTCACAGAAATATTTCTCAAGGAGGAAAGGGCTGCAGCAGCTGTGTATCCATGACGACTGATCTTCTCCGCCACATCTCTTAATCTATAAAATAACATGAATCATTTTCGTATACATGTAATTGGTGATTTCATAATGGTTACCTATAGCCCTTGAACATAGTTCTTCAAAGTCAAAAGAATACTATGCAGCTATTGACTTTTCAAGCAATAATCAATTTACCATAAAACCGTTGGTGTGAGTAAGTGTATGTACTAATAATATATGTCGTCGGAGTTATTGTAAATTGAGATTAGCTCTACCTACTTAAATAATTAAACACTCTGAGAAACTCTCTCTGAGACCTACAGAGTAATATGAGCAGAAACACATTACGAAAAATGTTTAATTTAGGGGTTACTTATCATTAAATATTATAGGAAAACAATTAACGACAGAATCTTTACCAAAGATATAAAAATTGTTCATCGAGTATATAATGGACTTGTATCAAATATCACTGTTTATGAACATAAGAAATGCATATTAGTCAACATGAATTATCCCTTATTAGAAAATTACAAAAACAGAACAGTGGAACAACAAGAAAAGGACTCTAAGATAATTGGTTAGAGTGGGTGGACCAAACGGCTCGGCGTAATAAAACTACTATATTGATATGGAAAATTCAAATTTTTTTTTTTTTCCCAAACCCGTCAACAAACCTCAATGTTAAAATTTCCATTTTCAAGACCGATGATATTGTTTTAAATAGCCATTGTGTAAAATTCGCTAATCACATAATGATGTGCATAGGCTGGAGCTATAGATAGTCCGGATAAACAAGAGTGGTTTGTGTGAAATTGTACCATAGCTCGGCGTACAATACTACATGATGCAGGATTGTTTTTCGAATAAAATCTCTTTTTTTATCTTATGAAGAAAACATATTGAATGAATTGTAACAACCAAATTAGGTTCATACATTTACAAGTACCAAACTTTTAGTTTACATTTTACAGCCCCAGAACTCTAGTGTTAAAAGATTTTAATAATTGATATGTTGCGGATTACATACATATGTTTGTATGCTATTAGCATTGTCACATGACTTTACCAGCAGTGAACCACACCAGGATAAAATGGTGAAAGATGTAAATAAAAGCACCATTGACCTGAATCGGAGATAACTCGAGACATTTTCAGATATTCTAAAAAAAATATCTTTTACGCCGAGCATTGGTATGCGCCGAGCATTGGTCCAACCACTCTAGGTTACAAGATTACTCAGTTACCAGTCAGCTTCATCACTGATCAGTTCAAAATGAAATGTAAATTCATGCCTTGCAAATACACACATAATATTATATGAAACTTCAGTATTCATTTGTATTTTATAAACCATGGAAACACGTAATAATACGCAACGTTAAGCAAACGTTGATGTTAAACTTCATAATTATCATACACGAGGTTTTTCCATACAAAACTTCAGTTATAAAATGACAAGATCAATAACAGATTTACCTTTCATTCAGTTGTTCGTCAGTTCCAGGAAGTGGATGAACGACAAAATGTAATGAGGTCATTGTTTAAATCAAGTTCTTTAACTGTTCATATGTTTCACTCGGGTCAATTTTCTGGCTTTTTTAATCGCAAGTTCCCGAGAAATTATTCATTAGTCTCCATTTTGTAATTCCGACTGCATTTTGTAACGAGCATTCTCATTGGTTTGTGACAATATCACGTGTACGTTAAGGTGTCTCGTCACATTCCTCTTTTAAAGTAGCGTTATTTTAATTGTTTGTTTTTTTTGTTTTTTTTTCTGTATTGCTTTTGCTTTTATTTATTTTCTTATTTATTTTGAAAATAATGTATTTTTAAATTAATTGCTAGCTGCTCGGAACAAAAGTAAAATATTTTGTTTGTAACATCTAACCATGATGCTAAAATACGTAGATTCTATTATCAATTAAATAATACATATACATGTACATGTATGTGTAAGTCGTGTTAAATCATTAGGTAGGAAATATTGACTTATTAATTAAATGGCTTTCAGACGAGTAAAGCACAACAAAAAAATATGACAATAGGCGATCGATCATAAATAATTTAATTTAACATGTAACATATAAAGCTGGGACAAAAATAACAAATATTTGTCCCAGGCTTTATATTTTGTAATAAAAAAAAAGTCTCTGGTAATTAAATTGATCTATATATAGTACTCATTGTCATCAGATCTTCACTTTGAAAAACGTTTCTAAACTTGGGCGTTTTTCTATAATATATTATATAATTATCATAATATTAGGACTTATTTATTTGAAATAGTAGCCTATTACCCTGATTTTACTGGCGCTTCTTTCCCTGCACGTATACAAGCAATTTATGCACAAGTACTACTTGCGTTACATGCAATACGTACTGTGCACCCTGATTGAATACTACACTTATAACTGAAATATTGAGAAATATTGATGAAATAAAATGCATATTTTCATTTTCCGTATTTTTATTTTTAACTGCAGTGAAACATATTTTTCGTATTTTCACTGGTGTCTTGTCGGATTTTTTTCTTCTAAATTCTACCAGTACACAAAATAAATTTAAGAGAAAGTCTTTCAAGTAGTTATGTGAAAAAAAGAGAACAATGTATGTAATAAACAGAAAATTCAAGGTTTTTCTAGAAATCATTTGGTGCGAAAATTATCATATTTCACTCGTGGCTACCACCACTCATGAACTATTAATTTTCCCACCAGTCGATGAAAATAAATCCCGTGTTTAAAAAAAAACTTGTATATGTATATACATGAAGATATACACGTGTTTAATTATTCAAAATCACCAGTATAGTTCTCAATAGCAGATACTATAGCATACATGTATCTCATCGATCAAATATTTCGAATAGTTTCCGTGATGACGAATGACTGATCATGCTGATTAACCGGTGCTGTGGGTGCACTTACAATTGTTCCATATTTACTAATTACAATTGGCTTAAATGAAACTGACAGAATTTCATTAAACAACTACCAGCTTCAAGCTTTCTGCCCAATCCTTTTCTCTTTTTTGTTTGTTTGTTAATCTAACTAGAACTAGATCTACCAGGATAATAAATATATATCAATATTCTATAAGATACATTTAAGGCCGAATATATCTTTAAACATACAAGTTTCTGACGGGATATACGTGGGAATGTAACTTGAATGAGTTAAATAATCAAAGGGCTGCAAGCTATGTACGTAGTATATTCTGATCTTTACGATCTAAATCGTACAGTGTCTGTATGTATTTTCCTGTATAAAATTATTTTGATATGCTATAATTCATCTTACAGGGCACCGAGTTGCAGCGACTGCGTTGAACAGTTCGAGTTTGATACATACGGACTTTTGTATGGCTTGCATTATGGAATCATTTATGTACATTTTTTTTATGACAGCCACACTCTATCCTTGCATATCGTGGCTAATTCCTTAGGAAAGAATGTTAAAATCGTTGCCTTGACTGGGATTTGAACCCCAGACCTCTCGCTTCCTAAGCGAACATGTAACCCCTGAACCACGGGGAAGTTATAAGAAAACAGTTTAAAGCAAACCAAATTAAGGTTTGTAATTCTTATCAATTTCGAGATATTTTGTCCACGGTTAACCTGTTATTTAACACTGGTGTAAATAATTAGCAAAAATCTCTCGCCCAAACAGTCCGACATGTATATAATATTTCACTACTCTTTGTTACTTATGGTAGAAATTGATTATCGATCGTCGACTGGCTAAATTCATCGTCGACTGCCTAATTTCGCCCCTGTCCTAGAGTCAACAGCCTTACTTTATTTTTCAGAAAGTCTTAATAACAAACGTTCATTTAGGCGATCACTATAATCCGAAGCTTTACAGAAATAGCCGAGCATTTTCATTGATTAAAATGATATTCATGTGCATTTATTGACAATTCTATAACCCAAAGTTACTTTTAAACTTTGAATGCGTTATAATTCGCTGGATACTTGCAACAAAATAAAAATATTTCTTTCTTTTACATCGCTAGTTTAAGCTGTTTTGAGAACTACTTTTTGTTGTATATAGCAATAAAATATGATTAAACCTGTTGTTAGGATATTTGGGAAGCGCTGTTCCTGAGATTGAATGTCAGCATTGTATTTCCTGATCTGCGATCAGAAAATACAACATACCGAGGCGCCATAACGAATTTAAATAATGCAAATTGTTATTGAAGACAATTTCAATTAAAAAGAAAAAAAAATCAGTAACTTAAGACTGCTTTTTTTAGTCGACATGACCGAAGCGCGGATTTTAAAGAAGCAAGTAAAGGAGATGACGTCAGAAATTCAGTTGCTACTCGAACGTTGTGCAATAAAAAAACTATAATGCACATATAAAGTTATCATTGCAGTGTGACTTTTAACTATTTTTTCTAGTATAATGATATTAAAATTGAGAAAAAATGCCATAAATATCAAAGCTATAAATATTAATTTTGTATGCACCGTCTACGATGTAGAAAACCAACTTTATGTGGCGCGCGTTTCGCTCATCGCGGTTTATAAGGCAACTAAAATCCGAGAAAATTTGCATTATTATGCTGAAATTATTTTGAGATTGTTGTCAGGATAAAATGTCTACTTTCAAGAAGAGGTAGAAGAAGTAGAAATTTAATATGTTATCATTTTATTTTCAAGAGCTTAAATAGGACATAATTAATTAATACGAAAAAAGTTAACTTTAAAAAATGGCAATAAGGATGACTCTCAATATTAATTAAATGCAATGAAATTGACATCAGGGTTAACATGACATTAATTTAAATGATTTTACTATTATATGAGGGGTGATCCAGAAATAATCGGACTTACTCTCTAAAATATTTATTCTTTACATTTTTTTGCATGAAGTCTGTACCAAACGTAATTCAGATCAAACTGATTCTGTTGGAAATAAAAATATTATTCTTCAGATGTATTCCGTTGTTTTATGCGTAGTCATGGAAACACACTAAGCGTAAGAGTGGGGGAAGCCATTTTCATTCACAAATTGCTTTTTTATAGCTTATTTTGAACATATTTCGGACTTTGCATTTTGGACCCAATTAACGTCAATTTGACATGACGTCATTGACGTCTTTTTATCAAAGTTTCAATGTCATAACGTTTTCCGTTATCAAACAACAAACCGGACATCATCTCCGCTAGTGTCTTGAAAATGGCGTCACATCAGTATCCAGAACAGCGCAAAATTATTAAATTTTGTTGCAAACTTGGTTATCCACCTACAAAAACTTATGAAATGAAAACACAGTCATCTGCAGGAAAGATAGTATCAAGAACACAAGTTTCTGAATGGCATTGGCGATTCGGTGAAGGTAGGCAATATCCAGAAGATGATTCAAGAGAAGGTCTTAGACGTTTGTTGAAACAATCAAAGACGTCATTCTCAGCGACAGGCGTGTAACCATAGGAGATGTTTGCGATGTTACTGGATATAGTTACGGGACTGTACAGCGAGTGATCACGGAACAATTAAATATGTCTAAAGTCAGCGCCAGATCAGAAGTGTGTGGATATAAACGGTGATTACCTAGAAAAATGACTGTCAGAATAACCTTTGGGTGACGTCAACGTCGTCAACGTTTGTTGGATGACTGCCCCCGCACACGCGGAACATATAGTGTGTTTCTATGTATATTACTGTTGTTTATTGCCGTAATGCATTAAAATGTTCAGGATTCATGCATTAAACCACGGATTTATATTACAGTAATATAAATCCGTGATTAAACATTGAAATGAATGTCAGATATTTTTTCGGGATTTTCTCTTTGTCAGTTTCTAAGTTATGCGCCCAGTCCGGTTATTTCTGGATCACCCCTCGTATTTAATAAAAAAAATGGAATATTCAAATTTCTTGGGACAGACTATAGCAGTTGACAAAAATATCATCTTTTAGTCACCAGAAAGTATTTTGAACACGAAGTCGTGTTTTGGTCACGACTGACGAGATCGTGTTTTGGTGAAACGGCCGTATTTTGGTCACTAGGTCTTGTTTTATTCACAATTACGTGCTTTGGTCACGACCCACGAGGTCGTGTTGGGTAAATGGTCGCATTTTTTGTCAAAAAGCCGTGTTTTAGTCATGGACTCGTATTTTTTTGTCATGAGGCCGTATTTTGGTCACGAAGCCGTGTGTTTGTTTAAAATTTAGGGCTTTGTAGCTTATATTTGAATTTGCTTTATGAAAGGAAATTTATAAAAAAAATTAACTACATATAGAAACAATACAAAGAAGTGTTTGTTTTACAAAGAGTTTAATGCATATAGTATAGTATACATATTTATTACAAATTACCAGGAAGTAATTCGAACATTCAATTATTTTAAAGATACGAATAATCTCAAGTTGGCGAAAAGGTTTTCCATATGTGAAAACTTTTTGACGCAGCAAAGTGTTCATTGTATAAAATTGAAATACGTGTACCTCGAATATATAAAGTCTTAAGTTCTTAAACCGCCATTAAATAATATAAAGTGCGTTTTCGTCAACCTCATAAGCCATTGTAATGACTGTAGACTTCTCTTTAAATATCATAGGTTATATAACTAAGATATTCTGAAGATGGGTTATATTCCCAATATCTTCTTTTCTGGTCTCATTTTGTAAATTCAAGTCCGGGTACGTCGTCATTTCTGTGTT